TTATTATCTATAGTTAGACAAATAATGAACTATGTAATTATTGTTAATCAAATGGATCTAGATTGAATAGACGTCGTATAGACAAGTCGAACGAGTAGTATAGATCAATAGATCGTGCGACCATTGTATCTACGTAATCAGACAAATAATGTAGATCGGAAAATTCATTTTAGAAACAATCTGAAGAGAGAAAAATCTATCTTTGAATAATTTTTCTGATGTAATATCGATTCAAATCGTAAGAACCATTACCATGAATGAATTCATAATATAATATATTCCATTGCATATTACTCTATCGCCTTTTATATTCTGATCGCGATATTGATAGATCAATCAAGATTCTTGTAAATTTTCGATATTTTATAAAAAATGTATCAAAGAAGAATCGAATTTTTAAAGGCAGTCAATTAATTTGAAAAAAATTGCGAATAAAAATATACGATGTATTGAAAAGTTTATTGATCATTCTCGATCATTTTTATCGAAATTTGATATTATTAATAATAAAAATCCGAAATTTAATGTCTAATTTTATAATCATTTTCGATAGAATATTAGAGATCATTTTTATGAAATAGTCAAGTTTAAATCATATAATAAGAAAATTTGAAACTTCCTATACGATATAATTTTTAGCTTCGTATTTACATGTAAAAATATTATATTTGCAAAAATGATATTTAATTCATTTAAAAATTATTTATATATACAAATTAATTTCATTTTTATATACATTTAGTAATACTTTTTATTACTAAAAGCTCAAAATTATCAAATCATTTACAATAAAGAAAATAATTTAAGAGCAATTTTCTTTCCTTATTTTTCAAAACGTTTCATTTGTTATTTTAAAATTCTATTAAAATCTTGTTCATAATCAGTTTGCTCAAAAATAAGAACAAGATAACAACGATATAAAAAATTTATACTTTAATCTCTTAATTGAATAATTTTTTGTTAAACTTTTTTTAGGTTGTTAATTAAAATTTTTTTTAAAGAAACAGAAAATTTACTCAGAGCATAGAGAACTATCCTTTACGGAACACTTGTTCACTTTTAATTAAAACATTGATTGATTTCGCGTTCTCGAGAAAATTTTCGATTTCGAGAAAATTTTTCAAATTCCTATGTGATATAACAATCGTCTCATTGTGATCGTCTCAGTGTGGCGTTTTTTTAACAGAATTTCAAAGCGAGGAAATAGCTTAATTAACAAATCAATAAATCAACGCCATTCTTCACAGGTCACGATTTTTAATTGGCAATGCATTTTTTCCCAGAATATGGAGCAAGGTTAAATGGTGGAGAAAATAATAGAAATGAGTGAACAGATGTAGATAATAGGAATGGAAATACATATTTTAATATATAATTTGATTAAAATTTAAGAATAATTCTTTATTTTTTTAATCTTATTATTAAATTATTGGAAACTTGTGGAAGTCATATATTTATATGATATGTATTTTTTAAAATTTCGTTTTTATCATTTTGCGATTATTAATTTCAAAGTTTTATATTATAATATTAAAAATTATAATCAATTAGAATTCTTTCTTTATAAGTTTACATAAATAGGAAAAATTCTATTTTTTTGGAATTCTATTTTGGAATATTAATAAATACGAAGTAGAATAAGAATTAGATATAAAAAAATTAAATATTAAATACTCTCTTTGAAAGAAATTCTCACCTTATATACAATTTCTCATCTTTTGAAGAACGATTCTTCACTCTTGATTTTTCTTTTTTTTTTATTTCAATAATATCATCATTTAAAAGAGCTCACATGCATAAAATACATTCTTGCCACGTGTAATTTAATTTCCACGTGGTATTCATAGCTTGTACGAATTTTATCATTTTTCACATTTTTACATTTCTTAAATTTCTTGAATTCTATGCAACATGTATTACTTTCAAACGTTTAACCATTAATATAATATAATACAATGTAATTTCTATTTAATTTTCTCATTAATATTTTCTCACGAAAAAAAGAAATTTTCTTAATGATTCAATAATGATAAAATGATGAAAATTAAATCCTTTATTTCATTTATATGAAATTCCTGACCTGAAAAAAATTCCATGTCCTCTACGATCATGATATATTCGATAGGAGTTATAAATTGAAGATTAGAAGAAATATAGCGTGATAATTTTATGATGTACGATGTACGATGTTTTCTGAAACGTCAGATAAGGGAAGACATTAATTAACGGAGTGACATTTATTCTTTGATAACTTTTTTTCAAAAGTTACTTAAAAGAAGAGGTAAGAGTAAGAGGTTTTATTAAGTTTTAACAAAGACTAGATTTAAACCTAATTTTAAAAATTAATTAATGAATCTGATAAAATTTGATAAATTTTGTTTTTGATAAAAATAGGAGATCTGTTGTCATAGGAGATCAATTGTATTTCTCTTTTAAAAGTTATTCATATATTTAAAGTTTTCAGTGACTAGGATCCTCGTATTTTTGTGATTTTTCTAGACTATTCAAGTCAGTTCTGTTGTTTCAATATTTTTTACGGATTTCTCGGATTGAATCTATGACAAAACAACTAAAATGCATTTTTTTTGGCTGCACGATATCAAAGGAAATTAAAAAGTGGTAATAAAAGGATTCGTAAGGCAACGAATAAAAAAGAACATTGTCAAGTTTCTTTCATGTGGCTGCGTGTTAAAATTATATATTCAAACTTCAATGGAAACTGGAACACGTATAGAACAGTATGATATTTTTGTGAGTTCTTATTTTAAAATGATACTAATTGTAATCTATAAAAATTCCAAGATAGATAAAATTTCGTCGATTTTTAATTTTTAAAATTTGTATAAGCACAATTAGAGAAATGAAACTTAGTAAAAATTTATTTAATTCATTAAATATCACGATATTTACTTTACTTTAGACATTTCGTTTCTTTTTGCATATTATACATATGCATATTTTTATACATTTAATTTTTCTATAAATGCATGAACATGCGTAATCTATTTGTTAATGTTTTGGAAGATGTATATATATATATATATATATGTATCGTATTTACTCTATTTTATTGGTTTTAACGCTTGAATAACGTTGTTTGCACAGGATATTTGAAATTTCATCTTCCAAGTGCATCTCCACAAGACACATTTTTCGTCATTTCTCCTATTGCAATTTTCCAGTAATTTCTTTCAACTTCCAACCATAAATACGATTTCGTTTGGCTTCATGTGTACACAGATTTGCGGATGACAAATTTAAAAGATTGAATGTATCGATATTTATTTGGTACACAGGTTTCAACGCGAAATTGCGTATAATATTTATATACCGTAAATATTTATATAACTATGAAAATATTCGTTTTCGAAGAGCATTCTCGTGTTAAAAATAAATAAAATAAAATAGTCAATGATCAATTAGTTTCATTATTTTTACTTTGTTACAAGGAATTTAATATTGAATAACTTCAAAAATTTATCCATAAAGGAATATCTAAAGCTTTCAAGTGAAAAATGTAAAAAAGCAAAATTTATTCCATAAAAAATTAATATAAAATATCCAATACAAAAAAATATTTTGCAATTCTAAATCTCCAAAAGCACATATAAGTATATATAAATATACATTTATAGTGTCTTTTAAACCTTCTAAAAATTTTTATAAATTTAAATGGAATAAATAAAGTAATTGACGAAATATTAATTTTAATGTTTTTTTTTTTTTTTTAGATCTTGAAACACAACCATTATCGATAATTTCAACGACTCGTTGAAAACACGGTTCATTGATCCAATTCGATTTTTTGCCATCGATATATCCAACCGATTAAACATACATTTGCCGATTACAATTTTTAATTATAGATTCCAGAAATAAATGAGTTTAAATCGAGAATCGATTTCAGAATTCAGAAATTCGTCGAATTTTTTGAAAATTAAATGAATTTCACCGAAAATTCAAAACTTCTTCGAATGATATTACGTTAAATCAAAAAGTTTTTTCTGAATTTTATTTTTTCGTCTCTTTTTTTTCTTGTATTTTTCTATCTTATTTTTCTCCTCTTTTTCTGCTTCTATATTCTTCTTTTATACCGTGCTGACCTAAATCGTAAAACGCATGTGTATATATGCATTTATTTTGCAAAACGACAGGTAAGTATATAACTATGTAATGTGTAACTGTGTAAGTATGTAACTGTATAATGTGTAACTTTGAAATCGAAATTCCTTTTTCGGAATGTTTTATTAACTCATTGAACGAAGTTGTTTGTTTTTGTTTCTACTCTAATTCTCGTTGAAAGGATGTAATTAATTGAGAGAAATATTCTCTAGTTGATAAAGATTGAAAGATGGGTGGAGTAAAGTTTGGAATTACTAGAACTTGATAATTTATAATTTAAAGTTAAGCTTGTATTTCTGTTATTTTAAAGTCTTTTTAATTTAGAAATTTATCTAATTAAGAGAAATTATTACTAATATTTTTAAAATTAATTTCAAATTTATAACAAAATAATAAACAGTAGCTATGTAATTGGAAATTGTTTCCAAACTTTTGATCAGCAATGCAATGAAAATTGTAAATATGGAATATTACAATTGCGATATTAAAATTTCTATCTCTGAAATCTGCCTTCATAGATATTCGTGTTCCAGAAAATTTTGTTTATTCTAAAAATTAATTCTTTGTAACATTATTTTACTTTGAAATCATACACTTATGTATCCATATTTTTTAAATCTTATTTTATTTTCCTAGAATTTAATACATATATATAATAATGCTTAATTGTTATATTATCTCTTTGTGATCAAAAAAAATTTATTTATAATAATTTATAATTTCTGTTTTTTATTTCAGAATACTTATTGATCAGATCAATACTACTTTTTTAAACGAAATTGAATCAAAGAGGATTAGAATATAAAATGATTAATCAGATTTATAAAATATAAACTCTCTTCCAATAATCTTTCTAATTCAAACTAATTTTATTTCAGGAATTTAACGTCGCCAAGGAGCAGCATGCGGTGCAGCCATGTTCCTCCGTGGTTGTCGAATCAGGTAAAATTTTTTATCCATCTTAATCTTCTTTTTTTGATTTTCGTCAGAAAATCAATATGGTACGAACATTTTAATCCTCGATAATCTCACCGTATCACATCTATTTTCCTTTCAAAATTAGGTACCGATCGATGAAGACATTCCCTTCGAGCGATCTTGTCATCCATGTCACGCTCTAAAACGAAAACCGGAAGTTCATACGCGCGCCAAGTAATCCCTGCCCGTCGCCTCGTATCAAACTTGTGACCGGAACGTGCACGGTTTAACGATTCCCTTTTATTCACATCGAAATTGTAATCCCTAAAATCCATCGTACAGCACCTTAGAGTTAGTGTTCCATATAAAATAACAGCATTGCAACGGGTTAGCACAAAGTGGATTATAGAAATTTACGGGATATTAACGAATTTGGTAACGAGGCGATCTCTAAGATGGTCGATTATATTGGAATGATAATTTTTTCGCAACGTCGTACGACGTTGATTAATTAACGCCTTTTTTTTTCTAGGTCATTTTCCTTTAACAGATAGTTAATTTCTTCGTGGCTATAGAATTCGTGAAGTTTGAGAGAAATGAAATGGAAAGAAGACTCGTTATTAATGTATGCATGTCAATTATACGTGAATGAAAGATTAAAGTCTTTTGTTTGTTGAAACAAGAGCGAGATTGAAACGTAAAAGTTCGAGGACTGTAGGAAAATTAATCATTTCTGCAGTAAAGCATCTCGCGATATATATTTTTCAATACGTATGTAAAAAAAAAAGTTAAAGAATGTTGATTCTCCTCTTTGCATCCATGATCGAAACATGGATTAATTTTTATTCGAATCTATGGACGAAATATCTCGCGTTTTGATAAAAAAAAAAAATTCTCATAAATGCAATAAAATTAATTTTAATTCGAAATAGGAAGTTTACCACATCAAAGTCGAAGCTATCCAGGTGGTACCAGTGGATCTGGAAGCATGGGACGATTGTTTACAAGGAATTCATCGGTGAGCTCGCAGAGCTCGTTAGAAGGACCATCTGGACCATCTGGACCATCTGGACCATCTGGACCTTCTGGATCATCTGGACCTTCTGGATCATCTGGATCATCTGGACCTTCTGGACCATCTTCCAGCCACCGTAGTACCACTACAACGCAGATTCGATCATGTGGACTTGATGGACGATATCATCATCGCCCCGATCCCTTGCATGCTGCTTCGTCTTATCCACCGAGCAGAAGTTCGAGGTAAAAGAAAGTTCAAAATTTTAATTAACAAGCTAAAAACTATTTGAAAATGACGTAAAAATGTTTAATTTTTATTTCATTCACTCGTATAATCTGTGCATTAAATTATTCAACTTTAAAATAATCTTAAAATAATCTTGGAATGATCATGAAAAATTTTTTATATTATATATAAAGTCTTAAAAAAACCTTCTATTTTTTTTATACTTATTATTTTTAAAAAGTTATTTTAACGGATGCAAATAAATATCCTGTATACATAATATAGAAGAGAGTATTCCTTTAGAGTTATTAAATAAACGTTTGAGCTTTCATCAAATCATTCATGAAGATTTTATTAATTGCTCAGGAATTGTTCTGGCATGGTGGATTACAGAACTTTACTATAACTTATAATTTGGCAAAGTGATTCTTATGAAAGTTTTACAAATTCTTTGAAAAATAATTGAACTTTATTATCATAAAACAGTTAAACAAAAAAATAATAAAATAAATATAAAAAGGAAAAATATCAGAAAAGATATTAAATGAAAGATATTAATCGTTATTATCACAATTAAATTTTGTTATCACATGGATTATCAGAGATATTTCAAATCCAAAATATAATTATTGTTCCTTCATATTTTATCACAATATATTAAAAACATTAACAGTCATTTAAAAATACATTTCATTAATCATTGATTAAAAATCATTCATTGTACTATTATATTATTTCTAATTTTGTTAATTTGTAATAGAAAAAAATTGAAATGCACCTTGCACTCGATTCCTAAACGCACAGATCGCCATCACCTGGTCGTACCGCATCACTAGATGCACGCTGTGGAAGTCCAGCCAGTTGTTCCGGAAGTCTTGTGAGCAGTAATGCATCACCATCTCAGAGCTCTCTGTCGTCTTTGGCAACAGGTGTGAGCTCTTCTTGTGGTGGTTCCTCGATAAACGTTACCCACGGAGCTTCCAGATCAGCTGGCCGAAGTCTTTCACCCCTTCTTATTCCACCATCACGCATTATCGGAAGGTGAGGCATTCTTCATCATTTCGTTATCCATATAAAAATCGTTACTATTAATATTTGATAGTAAAATTTTTAAGAATTGCTTTTGCAAATATTTTTTGCAAATGGATATTGTGAGAGTGATTGTCTAAGAGAATAATTTCCACTTTTGATGCAATATATGATGAAAGATAAATCTTAAGAAATATTTATTCTTAAATATATCTTAACATTTCTAAAAAACATATATCATTTAAATGAAATATAATCATAAAAAGTCATTTAATAACTGATAAATGAAGAAAAAATTTTTGTTTTGCGATCATTTCTCATATTTTCATTCGAATATTTATCGCACGGATTATTTTTAATCTTTAATTCTTGAATGTAATACCTTTTTTTGTGTAACAGTGACGGTGGACCACCTCCTCCAGCTTCACCATTGGGTTCTATACAACCTGATCTCTACCAACGAAGAGATGGCCCTATTTATCTCAAAGCTCGAGGGTACCTGCAATATTTTTTCATTTAATATATATTTTACTCGTAAATATTCGTTTATTTCTTTTATCTTAATTCAACGAGTCATCGGTTAATAATAAAATTTCTTAAATATTTAAAAGATTTTATTGACTTAATGAGTTAATCAAATTTAAATATATAATTAATACATAATGATTGTGATCAAATACAATTCTTACAATATTAAAGTATTGTACTATTTTAAATATTTACTTTTTTTTCTTATCTCAATGTAAGTCACAGATATCAATAAGAAAATCTATTGAATATTCAAAGAGTCTTACTAACTTTATCGGTCAATAAAATTTACATAAAATCGTGTAAGAAAAAAATCAGACACGATTACTTGAATATCAGAAAAAAGCAATATTTTGTTTATCTCAATTCTTATATCAAATTTAGAAAATAAAAATTATTTCAAATTGATAAAAATTTTAAAAGTATGTATTGATTTAATAACAATTTTATTTTACATTTTTTATTTTCTCTTTAACAAAATTTTTGAAACATATATGCTAATATCATGTTACATTTTTCGAGAAATCATTTTTGAAGAAAACAATCATGATCACAATCATAATATTTTATTCTATACGATAATATAGATTCTTATCTCTGCGTTTTATTATTTATCATTCATGTTTAATACATATTTTCGATCGAACGTAACTTTGGTTTACTTCGAAGAGATATTATTCGATGACCTACATGTCGATCCATTTCCTCCTTGTACACGCATCTAAAAGGATTGAATTACTGGATATATGGTAATTGGATACGAAAGCCATCCATTTTATTTGATCAGATTTTTAAACGCGCAGATGATTAATCTTTCGATTAATAAAAAAGAATACATTTTGTATTTCCTACGTCTATTAATTGAAATATGAAATACACGTATAATTAAGTAATGTGTACACATAGATTCGCATTTATTATGAAATATACGGTTGAACGTACACAATGATCAAACGAAAATAACCGCTTGATTTAACAGTGTAATTATTACATAACATTATCAATTCGAGATAGAAAAAGGAAAAAAACATACAATTTGTTTTATTTGATTTTATCTGTTAAAATTGCTCTTTCATCAAATGAAATTTTTTATCATTTCTGTTGAAATGATGATGCGATAAGTCTTATAAGTGGGAATAAAAGAACATTTAAATAAACTAGACAAAAAATATAATAATAGACCAATTTTTTGTATTATATTATATTGTATTGTATTAGAAAAATGAATGAAATTCTATTATATAAAAGAAGTTATATTATTCGAAAAATTATTTGTATTATGATTATGTATATATATTAATTTATAATTGAAATTAAGATATATAAAAAAAAAAGCTTTTCTACTATCGAAACATTATTGAATGTTATGTTCATTATAATATCAATAGGAAATCGACTAACGTGTATTGTGTTGATTGTAATTTCAGAAATGGAAAGAGTTTAGGCCGACTGCATTTGCGATTCAAATACGACTTCGATCGATCAGATTTGCATGTACACCTAATCGAAGCGCACGATCTGGCTGGAAGTGATCAAGGAGGATTCAACGATCCTTACGTGAAATTGATGCTCAATCCTGAAGTAGATTCGAGGAAACGACAAACACAGATATACCGTAACGAATCGAATCCGTTCTTCGATCAACAATTCAAATTCCCTGTCAGTAACGACGAACTTCAGGACAGGACTTTAGTTTTACAGGCAATCAATACAAATATTATTACTGTATCGTTAATTTTTCTCTCTTTCTTTTTTTTGTTCGTGTATCTTTTCATAAACAAAATTCAAAATTTTTAATGATTGATTTTTTAATTAATTTTATTTTATTTATATTTTTCTTTTATTTTTTAATTGTTATATAAAAATTGTTATTATATACTTTTATATGAGATTCTGTTCAAAATGAAATTTTTAATGATTATTTTATTTTATTTATTTAATTAAATAATTTTTTATCGAATATAATCTTATCGAATATAGAATAAATATAGAATAAATATGTAAATAAATATTAAAATTTCTTATCGACGAAAATTTTCGATATATTTAATAAGAATTATTTTAAAAAATAATGTCTTATTAATTATATTAATGTTTATTATGACATGAATTATAAATATTTGTTAAGTTATATGTAAAAAGAAATAATTATTTTTTCAATGTTAAAAAAAATAGAATTATTCTAACCTATTTAATAGGTGCTCGATTACGATCGTTTCTCTAGAAACGATATAGTCGGATCTGTAAAAGTACCACTACATATTTTACGATTGGATTCACCTACCTCGACCGAAGAAGTTTGGGGAGAGATTGAACGCGAACGAAAGCCACCTGAACAAATTCAAGAAGTTCTATTATCCCTTTCTTATCTTCCAAGCGCCGAACGATTAACAGTTCAAATTTTGAAAGCGAGAAATCTATTTCCACCGCAGGTAATGATAATTAATTTTCAATTTGCACAACTTTATTTACCTATACATATGTTTTAATAATCATCGAAAGAATATTCATTTTAGTTTTTCAATTTTTTTCATTAATATTTAATAGTTAATTTTGATTTGCATGACTTGATTGAAAAAAGTAAGGTTATATTACCGGTTAATAATTTCGTATAATTCCGATTAATAATTTTTGTTTTTTTTTGATTTATTTGTTTTTCTTCCAAATGAAAATTGATATTTATCCTTTTGTATAATAAAGAAAACATTTATAAACATATTAATTACAAGTTTTACAATTTATTTGTACTTCACAGGACAAAGAAACTTTAGATTCGTTCGTGAAAGTAAATCTTCTTTGCGGCGAAAAGAGAGTGAAAAAAAAGAAAACCGCTGTAAGAAAAGCTACGACAAGTCCCGTTTGGAACGAGGCGATGTCTTTTAATGTTCCTGCCAACTATCTCGCATCATCAGCTATCGAGGTAAATACACATATATGTTTCTATAATATTTTTTTTTTTCTTTATAATAATCATAATATCATGCAAATCGACTGTATATGATAAGTATTTCAAAATATTTCATGCGAGAAAATGAAAATCAATTTTCATTGAAAAATGTGATTTAACTTGTTTTTTTCTTTTTAAAAGTATAATATTTCTTTTTACACTTGTTATTTTTCTATATTCTATATTCTATTGTAAGACAAAATATCAAATCAAATTATCAAACTGAAATAAATGAAAAGTAATAGAAAATAAATGAAATAATAGAAAAAAAATAATAAAATTAATTTCTTGTTACATTAATTATTAAATTAAATTTAATTGGTCGTAATTTTTACATAAATCATTCTCATTGTTAGGAAATATCACTTTCGTATCACATATAATTAACCTTAAAATAGTTTTTAATATTAAATTCAAAATAAAAATTTCGTTTTCTATATAATCAAATTATAATAATTTTATGCTTTTAAAATATTATTTCAATTAACGATTCATGAATTGTGAATAAATAACAAAATTCTACAGAGATGAACATGCGAGACATATTATATGGTAATAAGAAAGAAAAATCAAATTTTCATTAGTATAAGAAAAATTTAATTTTCAAATTTTATATCGTTGAATACAGCTCACCATTTTTTTCGCTTTTTCTCACTTGTTGAAAATTATTCAGAAAATTAGAATAGATATCACATTAGAATCGAATATATATAATACATAAAAAAAAGAACTTTCGATGCCATTTCTATGATACGCGATATAATATGTATCGCAACTTGAGAACACGCAATTTGTCGAGTGTAAACGAATTTTATCGATTGCAAGTTATCGATTTGCGAGAATCGCCTACAAAACTTCGTAACAATTTTGAAGGAACCAGTTCTACGGAATTGAAGGTTGATTGAAACACCGATTATTTGTCTACATAAATTTTTAACGAGATTTATTAAGCAAAATTTTAAAAGAATAGTATGAATTTGAATTAAAATCCTTAAAATTTCATAAAATTATTAAATTTATATAAAAAGAAATAATAAAGGAAAAAATTTTAAGAAAATCTTTGAAATTTCGTTTCATAACCTCAATGTTTATTACCAAATAATAACTTCAAAAATAAAGATTGCAAATATAATACATAAATATATCTTATTGAATGAAAAATTTAATTCTGCAGAATCATAACGATGTTAAATTTTTTACATTTTATCTTCACGTTAATAAAAAAAAGCAAAATGTGTTCGTTGCTAAAAATTTATATACATTGAAATCGCGTGTTTGCATGTGAATCATGGAATATCGTTTGCGATCGAATGTTTTATCTTTTTAAAAATTCATCTTAGATTAAAAAACGAAAAAGATATTAATGACAATTTTTATAGTAAAACGACAGAACTGTATATTGGTGAATAAATTTTGTGAATATCCTCAAATAAAATATTGACATGAAATAAATGAAGATCCACAGTAGTTTGCAAATGTTCTAAATCGATCCATCTTAAAAGAATCGATCCATCTCGTCATGAAACAAAAATTTCTAATTGATTATAATAAAATAAAATTTCAAAATGTTTCATATAATTATATTTTATCTAATATATAAAATTTTTTAAAGTTTGTGAATACATGAATACAATTAAATAGTATCTATATATCTATACATATGAAAAAAATATTTCAACTTTCTATTTTTTTCTTTTCTTTTAGTTATTTATTTTATTCTTCCTTTTCTCTTTATTTTATTACAAGTTTGCAAAACATCTCTTGAATTATGATTCTTTATTTGTTTGAATGAAATTCAACTTTTTATTAAAAACATTAATTTAATGATAGAGGAGAAATTAAAAAAAATATATTCAAAAATAATCAAATACAATTCTAGTTTCGATATTAAAATATATGAATAAAAAATGATCACTATAAATTTTATATCAGATGAAAACTTATTATCGTAATTAATAGAAAAGTCATATATTTAGACAGATTAAATAGATTAAACTTACTAATCAGATTGTAAAATTCTACATATATTAATGTTTAATTAAAAAATTTTCTAGTTATAAAAATTAAAATCTCTTTATATAATCTATATAAAAAATATTTTTATTATAAAAAAAATGTAAAAATTAAGCATAGTAAACGAAAATTAACAAAATTATTAAAATAAAATTTTTTGCAAGGTATGTGTGATGGACTCGAGCAATGAATTTATCGGAGGAAACGTGATTGTTGGTTCCTGTATCGTTGGTCCTGCCACAGGAGTCATTCGTGGAGTGGAAGGAAGTGGAAGTCAAGGAAGAGAACATTGGCTTCACATGACTCAATCGCCAAGGAAAACCATCGATATGTGGCATACATTGCATTAAAAAAAAAAAAAAAAAAAAAAAAAAAAAGAAAAAGAATTATTAATCGATGTTTTATTCGTCATATATTGTTTTCCAAAGAAACAAAACCTGATCATGTGAAAATGTTATGAATGCATTTCTTTTTTTTTTTTCTTTTTTTTGTTTCTTTTTTTTGTTGTTTTGTCGGATTATAGAAGAAGGATACAATTAGACAACATAATATACATAATCGGTATATGGTATATGTGAACAACAATAGTGTTATATATGTGAATATTTTTATGAATATATTCAAAATCACTAACAAATAAAGAAATCGCGAAAAAACATCATCGCTATCCATTTCAGCGATTTATAAGAATCCCTGAATCCTCGTGAACTGTTAATTTTGCTATTACCAAATTTCTTCTAAGTTTTTCTAACCTTCAATTATTTATTCGATTTATTTATCTAGACAAAAAGATATTATAACAAAATATTTCATTTATTTATTTAAAAGTGTTGCACCAAATAAAAAATATTTTGAAAAAAAGTGAAAGAGAATTTGCCTACAAAGAAGGAGACAATCGTTTCATGTATACATTATATACGTATATACACTATATACACATACATGTATTTATAAATCATTTATTTCTACTGGCAGCTAAATGTACCTAAATATCAGAAAGATAATTATTCTATTTGCGATGACAAATATACGTGATAGTAGATAATCATATTTGAAACAAAAATTTTTCGTTACAGAATATATCATGATACTAATGATACTAATTCAAATTATAAAAACATTAGTGATAGAAAAAAAGAAAATATGAAAAAAAATAAATAATGTGGGTAATGATGTTTTAATATGTGATTTTTATTAAAGTCTGAAACTATTGCAAAAATGAGATATATATGTACTTCCTAGGCCTAAATTTGTACTATGCAACAAAACTGACCTCAGAGAAGTACAAGGCATGCATCATGCATATTATATAGTTTACATAATTAAAAGCCTAATGAAAACGATTCTCCTTCGATAAATACATATAGTCTAACCGCGTTATTGTTATTAATGTCATAATTATTTATGAATACATAAGCAGCAACAAAAAATGCAAAATGAAAGTTACATGATATTATATAACATTTGTTCAGATATGGATATAAACGCATAAACGTTTTGCAAATAATAAAACGTATACAGATATATCATATCCGATACCATTGATACCATCTTTCGATACCATTGAATAATAGAATATACAATTCTTGACTTATTAAATTCTTTTTTCACATTTTTGCTAAGGCATAGAACGCTATTGAAGAATAAAAAGAAGAATAATATATAATAATAAAATAGGAAGAAATCAAATTTTGTGTAAATTAAAATAACGAAGTCTGATTTATATGAATGAAAAAGAAGAAATAAAAATCAAATGAAAATATGAACATTTCCGACCAAAGTTTATCATATCATATATACTGATAATTTTGAAAATTCCAGAGCTTAGATCTATTTAATGTTAATTTTAAAAAAAAAGAGTTCGATTAAGGAACCTGCCGTATTAATAAATATTTTAGATTCATACTCGTGTACTACAGCGATTAAATGTTTTTGATTCGTTAGCTGAGAAAAGTGTTACCTGATGAAAAGAAAAAATAAAAATTATATGTTGATTATCATTAAGTATAATATAAGTATAAATATATGTTATATAAAAATATAATGATATATAACTACGTGAAACGTAACAATTGGAAAAATAGAGAGAAAGTTTGATGGGAAGAAACGCTTAATTAACTAGCGTGGTCCGAATCGTACGCTTAACTTATACTTAACAGTATTTCTATTATACATATATATTCCGCGTGTCTTCGATGATACGTAGTATTTATATTAAAAGGTATATATATATATATATAAAGATGTTCTTATATGTATACTATTGTCTTAAAACAATCATTTTGGGTGTCTAATACAGTACACGCTTTTAACATTCCAACATACTTGTAATAGTTGTGACGATACGTAATGACTATATAAATTTCGTGTTTCTGCATTCACTATAAATAACGAAACATTCTGTAAACACCATATTTGTATCGTATTTCTACCACAAATTTTCATGCGCCGATTTCAAAAATGATCTCATACATACATTAATTAATTCAGCTACTTTTTACATAAATAGACACCCTGTTGTTGGACCTGAATTTGCCTTGCATAATATGATTAAACTAAACGGAAACGTTTTATCTATTTCTAATGATTGATCTATTTATAATGATAGCAGTGGGACTATGATTATTGTACAAATACATAATTGAAGAATGAAATGAAATTTAAGATATTATGAGATGATCGAAACAAAGCAAAGAAACAAATACATAATTGAAAAATAAGATGAAATTTAAGGTATTAAGATGATTGATAAGCAAGGCAGAGAAATAGTTTCCACAACTGGTTTTCTGAATATTTTGTCTTGTCTTATTAAAGAATGTACAATGTATCTTAAATGTGAAGTGTAATCAATATTTTCTTGTAATGTATCCTCATAATTCAATTTAAAATAAAGAATTACTTATTTCCGTCAGATTATATATTTCATATCATTTATTTTATTATTTTTATTATTATGTATACAAAGAAAAAAAAATAGAATGTAATTTAAAAGAAATTTTAAACATTTGTAAGAATAGTATACATCTTATGGTTTTTATTTACATTTTGTTTTGTCACGGATTTCAAATTATGCCATATTATTAAATTTATATTACTATTACAAATATTATTTCTTTTCTACAATAAATAATACAAAATATTTCAAATTTTTTATTTATATATACCATGAGATCAAACTATAATATATTTTCTGCATTTGATGAAATTATAGGTCTATTTAAAATAATATTAAAATGCAGAATTCAGATTTTTTGTTAAATTATCTGTTGAAAGATCAACAAAATCTTTTGCACCTTTGCGTCGTATTGATAACGCAATACTTGCACCATTTTTATACCATTTGACTTTCACCAATACACAACATCCTATTTCTATATAAAATATAATACTTTATTATAATTTGAAAATTAATTTATTTCATGGTTTAATAAATAAATTCACATACCAAGTTGGCCTCGTTCATGTGCCGCAGCTAATTGATTAACAACACGTCTTTCCACTTCATACTTAATAGAACGTGCTCCATAATGAGTATCATATCCTTCAGCCAATAATGATAAAACTTCTCTATTCCATTTCAATTCTATTTTATGTCTTTTCTTTGCACGATCTGCCCAAGCTTCCAATTCTTTAGCAACTAATTTTATAAGTTCAGATTGAGAAAATGGTAAAAAATATACAATCTCATTTATTCTGCCTAAAAATTCATCTCTACCAAAATGTGTTTTCAATATTGGTCTTACCTATAAAATAAAAGATTTATGATTAATTTTTAGTTTTTAAAAAATATTTTATAAAGAAATTAATATGTACCACTTCATCTTTAAATTTACGAGATATTTCAATTTGTTCAGAATCCTCTTCTACATCACAATTTATATCCTGTTTTTTCTCAACACGTTGAGCTTCTTCTCTAAGTTGTACTGCATGATCAGCAATTACTTCGCTTGCTAAATTAGATGTCATTACAAAAATTGCATTTTTACATTCGATTGTTTTACCTTTACCATCGGTAAGTCTTCCCTAAAAAAGTTCAAATTTTTATTTTAATACAATATTTTTAAATATCCAGTGTATAAAATATTTTCCAAAAATAACCATACTTCATCAAACAATTGTAACAAGACAGTAAGTACATCAGGATGAGCTTTATCAACTTCATCAAATAATACAACAGCATTTGGACATTTTCTTAAAAGTTTTGTTAATTGTCCACCATCATCATGGCCTACATATCTAATTAATGTAATGAAATAAAATAATATTTAAATATTTTTATTATATAAATAAAAATATATATTATATTATATGATATAAATAAAGATATGATATACATAATGATATATACCCTGGTGGTGCACCAATCAATTTAGCAACTTCATGTTTTTCTTGATATTCAGACATATCCAATCGAATAAATCCTTCCTGTTTATTTTTATGAATATATGCAGCCAGTTGTTTAGCCAGTTCAGTTTTTCCAATTCCTGATGAACCCAAAAAAAGAAATACTAGAGGATGTTTTTCATCTATCCATCCATTTTCTTTTCTTCTAATAGCTGCAATTATAAAAAAAAATATAATAAAAATATTATAATAAAAAGTATTACAAAATATGTTTTTGTATTATCAATTAATAATTTTATAAAAAAAATATTACTAGATGCAACAATAGATATTGCTCCAGCTTGTCCAACAATGTATTGTTTTAAACGTTGCTCTAATGGAAACCTACGACGTTCTTCTATTTCCTGTTTACAATATCAGGTAAAAACATAGATCAAAAATAGCACTAAATACAAATCAAAGCTTGATTTTAATCATATGTACTTTTTCCTTCATTATTTCATCATATTTTATAGCACGTTTTATAAGCATTTCTTTGAGTTCTCCATCTTTAGCATATTCTACTGCTCGATGTCCTGATTCATTTTTCATTGTTGGATCAGCTCCTGCTTCTAATAAAGCTTGTACACAAGCCTTAGAATCTGCTAATACAGCATAATGTAATGGAGTAAAACCTTTAAATGTAGCTCTACTATTCAAATGATCACAAAATTCTTCCTCTCTTATCATAAGTACTAAAAAGTTGTAAAATTATGCAATACCTTGTAAAATATTAATTTGTAAAAATAAACAAATACTTATTATATTTTTAATAAATTATAATTTAGATTTTAATTTTTTATACCATCCAAAGTATGTAATCCTTTTTCTATAGCACTTCCATAGACATTAATAAATTCATCTTGAGCATTAACATCAGCACCATACTTTAATAAAAGTTTAACAACTTCTGGTTGTGAATTAATAGCAGCAAGATGTAATGCTGTCCAACCCAATAAATGACGTATATTTATATCAATGCCTTCTTTTATAATCTATAAAGAAATATTTTGATAATTATTAATATAATAGTAAAATGATTTCTTATACTTACACTTTTTAATTCTGGAATGTTACCATATTTTACAGCCCGAAAAAACTGTTTATCTATTAAAAAATAAATGAGAATTAGAAATGAATGTTTTATATAATAATTATATTTTAATTATTAATTCATAATAAAAGATACCTCTATAATTTTTTGCTTCACAAAGAGTTATAGTTATACCAATACCACTTAATAGAAATCCCAATTTTTTACTACTTTTTTCATAATTAATATTATATTTATTCGATAATATTTTTATTCTTGTTAATAAAGGATGGATTTCCTTGGATTTAAGCATATCCAAAAATCTATATAATGGATAAATATATTTTTCAAATTTCCAATGAAATTGGGCATAACCTCTACTATTTTGATACAGTATGGCTTTTATTTTATTTGTTATTTTTACATTTGTATTGCTTATTAAAATTGTTGAATATTTAGCCTCTTTTATAATCGAATAAAATCGTAAATTACACAAACGTGACATTTTATATATGTAGATTTTATAGACTAATATGCTTAAACCATATGATTTTATCTTATACGATTAACATATCTAATACTTATTACTAATACACAGACATATAAATTCATTGAATAACTGCCAATAGTTAGTAATCATGCAATAACACAATTTGTGTTATATTTATGTTTTTAATAGTTTTATTTTGAGATTATATACTTAAAATGACGCTTTTGTATATTAGGGAATACATCACGTAATAAACATTTTAAGAAACTGCATTGACACAAGATACTAATGAAGTTCTTTTATTTTAATCATATAAATATAATCATATAAGTAACAATTTAAATATTTATAAGCTATATTTAATACATATGTAAAATATAAAAAAATAAAAATATAATTATATTAAAAATTATTTTTTAACGTTGTGTGTGTATATATATATATATATATATATATATATATACGTATATATATAATATATATATATACATATACACATATATTAAATCTATATATAATCCTAATATAATATAATACTGTAAATATTTATAAAATTACATTTTTTTAACATTTATAATTATGATATTTCAAAATTTGTTTCATGACGGACATATTGTAATGCAAACCAATCATACCCATGTCCAAAGTGTGCTATATATAAATTCAAAAAATTTGAGAAAGTGATATGCAGAGATAAAAAAACATAATAGATCAATTTTTTTTAATGAATTCTTTATTTATAGATATAATAATTTCTAATCTTCTTTCTTGCAAAATATGTAATATATCAATTTATTACTCTCGATCCTTCGAGAAACAAAACTAACGATGTCCAAAAGGAAGATTCCAATGGCGCATAATTCCAGAATGTTCCAGAACAACCATCTGACCAATAGGAATCGTATACTGCAGCGCCATGATTGGTGAATTTGCAGCAGAAGTTAGCAGAAAGAAGTAATCACAGTTACCGTGCGAAGGGCATTTCATTCAGACTATTGCGTGAGTGAAGAGCAAGAATTCAGAGAACTTGTGAATTCAGCGTATACAATAAGTACTAACGCGTATTCTAAACAATTATTAATCATTTATACATCCTTTTCGAGAATCGGCATTTAACATTTGATTTAAACACGATAGTTTATTCAATATCATAAAGAAAACGTACTAGTCTATCAGCCATGGCTGCTATGTCCGTGATCGGAATTGACTTCGGTAACGAAAGTTGTTATGTGGCTGTAGCACGCGCAGGAGGCATTGAAACCATAGCTAATGATTATAGTCTTCGAAGTACACCGTAAGTTTTTTTTATTATAATAATCATTTTTTAATATTTCTCTTTTTTAAAAAGATACCGGTATGCACCGGTAACTTTAGGTATTCTTATATTACTATTACTATAGTTCTTTTCGCGGACATTTACGTAAAAATATAAAAACAATTTAAAAATAGTATATAATTGAATTTTATACAAATAGTATATAAAATTAAAAAGACGTTATTTGATCATAGCCATTTATATTCAAATTGTTTTATCTATTTAAATATATCGTTTACTTTTATATGACTAAGATGTACAAAAAAGTCCATAGTTATGATCCATGAGTTTTTTTTTTTTTTTTCGAAATTGGTATAGTCATATAAAATGGAATCGATTTACGTCATTAATGTAATAGACAAAGATACAAGATTATTACTATTAGGAATAATCTCTACTGTATAGTAAGCTCTATAGTAAAATATAGAAAATATTTGATTTCAATTTACCAAAATTATTTAAGCATTATATTATATATTTATATATATTACTTGTTTTAGATTGAATATATTTGATAATTATATATAAATAAATGTCAAAATTTGTTTTGTTTGTTATATCTTTTTATTTATTAATAAAATATCAAAAATATAAAAATTTTTAAATATTAAAGTATAACAATTAAATATTTTAATTATTAATCATATTAAGATAATTTTAATTTTAGTTTTAAAATTTTAAGAAAATTTATTATTATATATATATGTATCATTTTAATAAAATTATTTTTTATATATAAAAAAATTAGTATGCTTTTATATGATATAATATTCTAAAAATTTTTATTTTAATATTATTTTATTATATGTTATTTTTATGAAATTTTAATGTTAATGTTAAAAATTAAATATTATCAAAAATTTTATATCATAATTTTTTAATCTTATTTCTTTAAATATTTTATTAAATATTTTTCTAAGTATTTCAGATAATGTTAAATTTATAATTTTATATTTTTACTATATATATTTTCAATATAATAAAAAATATGATAAAAAGTAAATATATAGTTATTTCTAAAATATTCAGATTATTCTAGAAATAATTTATATTGTGATATATACAGAATATATGTTTGATGTAATATTTATAAAATATGAAATTTTATTTAAATAAATTGGAATTAATAGACAAATATTTTAGATCATGTGTAGCATTCAGTGGAAAAAATCGAATTCTTGGTGTGGCAGCCAAAAATCAAATGGTAACCAATATGAAAAATACCATTCATGGATTTAAAAGATTATTGGGTAGAAAATATAATGACCCACAAGTACAAAGAGAGCTTCAGATGTTACCTTTTAAGGTAACTCATCAGTCAGATGGAAGTATTGGTATACATGTAAGTTCTTTTCATTAAGAAAATTAACTTTTTTTTATTATATTAATAAATTATAATGTATTTATATTATATTAATAATTAAATTATAAAACAATTGAAGAAGGAAATATTTACATGTGTTATTTTGTAAAATATTATATAAAATGTAATCATAATAAATATATTTTTAAAAACAATAAAATTTTTTAAATATTATATATATTTCATGTGATTTAATATTAACTAGATTCAATCTGGGCATTGTGCCAGATTTCTCACATTTGTGGGAGACTCATATCTTATTTATATCTCTTTAGAGTAGTTAAAACATGATGAATCACATTGTGTGTAATTTGTGCAATAAAAATAATAATGATAAAAGTAATTATTAATACTAATTATTAAATAAGTATGATATTTTGATTATAATTATTTCTAAATTTTAGGTACAATATTTAGGAGAAGAACACATTTTTTCACCTGAACAAATAACTGCAATGTTATTCACAAAATTAAAAGATATATCTGAGACTGCTCTTCAGACCATTGTTAATGACTGTGTTATTTCTGTTCCTTCATATTTCACACAAGCTGAACGTCAGGCATTGCTTGATGCTGCACGAATTGCTGGTTTAAATGTTCTTAGATTATTTAATGAAACAACAGCTACTGCTTTATGCTATGGCATCTATAAACAAGATTTACCAGCACCTGAAACACCTCCAAGAAATGTAGTTTTTGTTGATTGTGGATATGCAAGCTTACAAGTGAGCATTTGTGCATTTCACAAAGGAAAATTGAAGGTAATTAATAATTAATAATATTAATTTAATAATAATAACATATTTGTAAAAAAGCAATTAAAAAATAATTTCAAACATAAATATTATTAAATTTTATTTATAGATGATAGCAAGTACTGCTGATAGTCAATTAGGTGGAAGGAATATAGATTCTATTTTAGCAGAACACTTTTGTAAAGAATTTCAGTCACGTTATAATATTGATCCACACACCAATCCACGTGCATATATAAGACTATTAGGAGAAGTAGAAAAATTGAAAAAACAAATGTCCGCCAATTCAACAACACTTCCTCTTAATATTGAATGTTTTATGGATGAAAAAGATGTACATGGCGAAATGAAACGAGCAGATATGGAAGCGATGTGTGCACACTTATTTAAACGCGTTGAATCAACTTTACGTCAATGTCTTGAAGATTCTAGTACGTTTTATTTCTTGATACACTTTGATTTAAAACATGTATCAATTATATTCTAATTTACAATGTTTTTTTATAGAATTAAAATTAGAAGATATTCATTCAGTTGAATTAGCAGGAGGTTTTAGTCGTGTTCCTGCTATTAAACGATTAGTTGAAGAAGTTTTTGGTCGTACTGTATCTACAACATTAAATCAAGATGAAGCAGTTGCTCGAGGATGTGCACTTCAATGTGCAATGTTGAGTCCTGCCGTCAGAGTTCGTGATTTTTCAGTGACCGATATTCAACCATATCCATTAAAATTAACATGGGATCCTACTCAAGGCGAAGAAGGGTATTTTAATTAATATATTATATATAATATTTCATATTTAAAAAAAATATATTTTTTTGATTTTCATATTTTAGTGAAATGGAAATTTTTGGACACAATCATCCTGTACCATTTTCAAAAACGTTAACATTTTATCGATCAAATCCATTTACACTCACTGCCAGCTATTCTGTACCACCATCATCATATCCTCAAACTCATATTGGTATGCATTTGTTTCTATTTTCTTAATAAGTAAATAAGTATTTTTTTTTATAGCTGATAGTATTTTTATAGGTACATACACAATAAAAAATGTAAAACCAACGCCGGAAGGAGAGCTATCAAAAGTTAAAGTAAAAGTAAGAGTGAACTTGAATGGCATTCTTACTGTTGTTTCGGCATCATTAATTGAAAAACGTGAACTCACACAACAAGAAAAAGAAGAAGAGGAAAAACAACAACAACAACATCAGCAACAACAAAATAATATGGATATTGATCAGCAACAAGATAAAAAAGATAAACCTGATCAAGAAGCACAAGCAAATGAACCACCAGCACCTGAGGTATATATATTTATTATATTTCATTTTTTATTCAAACTTTATTATTGCTTAAAATTATTTTCAATTAGCTTATATGTAATATTTTAACATACTTATAAAATTATTAGCTATATTTGTTTAACATTATTTAAGTAACTAGTAATGCTAGAATTACTAAAATCATATTTAAAAATAAAATTTATGGCAAAAATGATAGAATTAAGAAAAATTTATTTTTCTTAAAGATTAACTTTTAAACTTTTGTAGAAATATAGTATTCATAATATGCTTTGAGTGTCTGATGCATGATTATGTGAGTTTGTTGTGGTTTAGGTGAGCATGGATAAAACGCGACGGAACTCAGATGCTGATGATGGTGGAAGAGGTGCGAGGGGTTCTGCCCCTTCCTACTCCTCCAGGATTCTCTCTTGGCTCAGCTCGGTACGCGACACACTATCATTACTTGGACCCATATGTTAACTGAAACATGTGCAATAATTTATGACTTTTGCTTAAATTGTTTTATTATTATAAATTATAATGATAATTACGTGAATAGCTTTTCGTGTGTAAAAATGGCATAAATTTGTTTCTTTCATCGTGTCAGCATCATCAATTATCTGTTATATGATCACTGCAATCATAAAATTTAAAATATCCTGCATGATATAAGAATCGCGTATTATATATTTTATATTTATTTACTATTTTGAAAAATTTTTTTATTAATCATATTTTATCACATTAAGAAAATTAAAATCTGAAAATTTTAAGTTTATTATTTAATTTAAAGCTTGTAATAAATTGTATTTGTTCTTGTATTTTATTTATAGTATTTCGAATATTGTAACTTAATCAAATTTTATTTATGTGTGCTTATAAAGTATAAATTGTTCATGAATTAGAAATTTCCTACATATTGTAGTTTCTTTAGTGCATGACATTTAGTTATGTTTAAAGTTTCAAAATCTGTGTCGATTTCTTCTGCAAACTCGGTTAATAAAATACATATGAACGACATATGAACGAAAGTAATATTATTAGAATATTTAATTTAATAAGATAGAAATTAATATTTTTGTATTTATAAATATAAACATGCCTAATATAATTTCATGTAATGTATATGGGTCCAAGATACAGCTGTGTCACGCCGTGCTGTCTGTCTTTGCTCAATTATTCCTTTCACTGGGTCGCAGAAGGAAAAGAGACAGTAATATTTAATAATGCAATAATCTTTAATAAATTGCTAAAATTGTGAAGGCAGGCAATGCGGTTCGGTTTTCAATTCGTACAATATTTTGAATTGTAACAGTCATCTTTATATTAAGTATATATTATTTGACATATTTTGAATTTAAAGTAAAACGAATTGAAAATTACTCGCATAAGAATAATGCCCCTCTTTGTCCTCTGCTCATTTCTATCATCACCTGATTTCCAGCTTATGTGTGTCTTTCTTTAAAATGTTTAGTTATTATAATGACATTGTTATATTTATTTTATCTATTTTAATTATAAGTTAATACATTATTATTAAAGTATTAAAAATTAAATTATGTTTAAAAAATTTTAAAAATATTAGATGAGAAAATTAATATAGAATGTTCATTAAGATATATATTTTCTTAATGATTATAACAATATAAATAAATTTCAATAAATTTTATTGCAGAAATAATTAAACAGGTAAAACTATTTCATATCAATATTATATTATTTTTCAGAGCGATGATAAAAATGATGAAAATAAAGGTAAAAAGAAAGTTCCTATTCGTACTATTGATTTACCAGTAGAAATGCGTGAATATGGACTTTCTCAACGTGATTTTGATGCCGCAGTAGAAAAAGAAGTAAGTTCATGTTTACTTACTACAAAATGTTACAATATAATTTTTAATAAGATTTGTTTTAATTTGTTTTCTCTCTCTCTCTTTTTTTTTTTTTTTTTTTTTTTTATAGGCCAAAATGATCGCTGAAGATAAACAAGAAAAAGAACGTGTAGACGCGCGTAATGCATTAGAAGAATATGTTTACGATCTTCGTGCTAAATTATCAGAAGAGGATCAATTATCTACATTTGTTACGGAAATAGATAAAGAAGCACTTTGTCGTACATTAGATGAAACTGAAAATTGGTTGTACGAAGAAGGTGAGGATTGTCAGCGACAAATTTATTCAGAACGATTAACACGTCTTAAGGTAAGTTACATTGCTTTCATATTAAATATTATTAAATATTTTCTGTTCAAAATCAAAAATTATTTTCTTTTATTAGTCACAAGGTGAACCAATTAAAGAAAGACGAGTAGAATTTGAAGGTCGAGGTCATGCACTAGATGATTTATCAGCAGCTTTACAACTTGCTAAAAAAGGAGTAGATCTCATTAGAGCATCCAGTGGAAAAGATGATAAATATTCTCATTTAACAGAAGAAGAAGTAAAGAAAGTTGAGAAAGCAGTACATGAAAAATGGACATGGTTGGAAGAAAAACGCGTACTTCTTGCCAGTACACCTCGCACACAACAACCACCAGTTACTGTAGCACAAATTCGTGGAGAAAAATTGGTATATAAAATATATATATATATAATTTTATATGGAAGTAATAAATTATTATTTACACATTTTTTTATGTTTCATAGACATTGGATAGTATTGTACTACCAATTTTAAATAAACCAAAACCTAAGATTGAACCACCAAAAGAAGAAAAATCTAAAGATAAAACTGGTGAAGATCATCAAAAAAATCAAAATAACCAAGGTGATGGCCATATTCAGACTAATCAGCAACAACAACCCCAAGAAGAAAAAATGGATGTTGAGTAACAATCATCCTATTTTATGTGTTTTAATGCTATTAAATCTATCACGATTAAAATATCGAAAATTATGTCATCACATAAATCATTTTTATCATGTCACAAAAGCGCCTGATATATTTTTAGTTAGCACATGTGATTGATTGTTTTTTCTCTTCTTCTCCTATCACAATCATCGATGTGATAAGTTTATGTATTTATGATGGACTGTATCATTAATTTAAGTATATTGAAATCTGAAGAATTTTTATTATAAATCATTAAGAAAAGGACATGTGTATGTTTTAATATAGTAATTTATGTAAGACTATTTCTTTCAAATAAATTATAATAAGTTAAGATTGACGTGAAATTCAAGATATGATTTTTTAAAATTGTTTCATTAATAGTACATTTGTTACATTTTTGAAAATTAACCATTTAAATTAAAAGAGCATGACATTTACAACAATCTTATTTCAATTTCAAGAAGTTATAAATATCTTATAATTCAATTAAAAAATTCTTCAATTTTTAATATGCTTTTAGAAAAGTGTAACAAAATTTATCAGTGGAGTACTCTAAAGAGTTTCCTGATTTCATTGCCAGTAGAAAGATTTAATACATTGTTACTTATAATATATAGGACAAATATTAAGTTAGAGCTAATAACTAAATTAAAATGTGAAGTAGTTAATATCGCTGGCGATCTTATGTATTTAATACAATAAGTATTCATTCCAACACTTTTTTAGGCCGACAGCGAAATATTCTGTCATATAAACTTTTGTTGCATTTACAATACTTAAATAAATTAATATTTCATTAATGAAGTTTATTAAGCTTGTTCTAGGATTTGCTAAAGCTTCGTGTGTTTAAAAGAGCTGCTAACCTAAATCGTGTACAATTTATGATACTTTAATATTATCGAAGCTTTGATGACATGAAATTTCTAAAAATGAAAAATTATAGTTAGGTATATTGTACATAATTAATAGTTTTTCATAAAAGTAAAAAATATTTTCTCGTTTGATCTGTGTTTCAATTAATTTGATATCTTTTTTTGCAATTCTTGCAAAGATATTATTTTATCTAGAATACTATTCTTCTTCATTGGTACTACTAAAAAAAATCAGTGGTATATTGTTATGTTGTATTATATTAATTACAAATTCATTTTGTTATTTATTCTTTCTTGAAGATAAAAAAATACATGGCTTCTATTCAGTATCATTAGGGGCGGATTTGTACTAAACTTTTGTAATAGTCGTTTGTATTTCTTAATTTTTTTTTAAAAATTCATATATCAATATATTTTCTACATAGCTATCAAAATTATCTGCCTAGAGAATTATAAATTCGCTCCTGATCTAGTACTGTGATCATAAAGTGCACTATAATTAATTTATCCATCTGATGTGATGTATTGAGGCACTATAAATTATAAAATGTACTACAAGATTTCTCAAATATAAAAGTAAAATATGTATAATGGAATTATATTCCATGTAGATGTATGTATATTGCAAGTTTGTGCTGTACAATATGCAAATATTGTGTGGGAATGCCATTGCTTTTTTTATTTAGTAATTATGTTTAATTAATACAAGTATAGATAAACCTTCCCTTTGCACAATTCACAGTATTCAATAAAAAAAACAAAATATCAACAAAGAAGTAAGCGATTGCAGAATGTAATGCAATATAATGTAACATTTTTTTCCGATAATTATACACGAATAAATATGTTATCTAGAAAGTGTATTTAATTACATACATATTTCAAACAAGAAAAAATGATTAATCTCGTTTTGTTTGTGTCTTTGATTGATCATCAAAATATGCACGATATATAAAAGATCCTAGAGCCACGTGTAATACGAGAATCGCAACAGCAGCTGAATATACGTTACTTGGCACATGATTAAGCCCCAATAAACCTAAAATGTATAAAATATATTTCAATACATTTAAAATTACCCATCTTATATTGAAATCAGATTCGTAAAAAAATATAATATTAACACATAATATAATAATCAAAATTATTTATAATTTAGTATACTCAATAATTTATATATACAGTGAAGAATGAAAGTTTTTATTCATTATTTTACAAATAAATTCACAATATATATAATGGGTTATATATTAAATAAAAAAAATTATTTTTAAAATTTAAAAAATTTTTTTTTTTTTTTTAGTTAAATTTCAGATTTTAGAACTAGAAAAAAGATTCTAAATATTAAAAATTCAAAAAATACTGAGAGTTGATTTCATTTCCTCAAAGAGATTCTGATTGATAAAAAAATTGTACAATTCATTATTTATACTTATTATTAGAATATATTAATATTCTATTATATTTTACATAAAATTTTCATTAACATTAGAATTTCTGTTATTTTTTTTAAGTTAGTGTATAAAAAATTTTGTTCTTCACTATATAAAGCATGAAATATTGGCTATTAGATTAGAAATTTTAAAAATTTTTACAGATAATATTTATGTAAATATATATTCTTTAACATTTTTTCTAAAAAAATTATAATTTCTATATTTGCTAAATATCAAACATAATATTGTTTGCTTTCATACCATCAAAAATAAAAATCTTGCTAGTAAAAAATGACAATACAGGTAAGGCTATTATCACTACACAGTGGAATAATACTGTTTTAAAAACTTGTAATTCTGGTAATTCCTGAAAATAAAATTATGTATTAAAAACATTATTTAAATATATATAAATGTACATCATAATAAATTAAAATGATAGTAATGAACATACCTTGATATTTGCCATGATATAAATCTAATTTATTACTTCTAACTCCAAATTTTATTTAATGAAATTCAACTATGATACAAATTTAACAAAATTAAATGACATATACATATAATATTATCATTATATTATTAATGTAGAAGAATATAATTTGATATTTATGTAAAGTATAAATTGCAGAAGAAATTACATAAAAAATTGTAAAATCATTCTTCTTTTTTATTTATGCACTCTGTTTTATTGAGGAACATATATACAATTTTACATAGAGTATGTATAATCTACATATAGAGTTATGTAGATTATGTAATTTCGTATAGCAAAAAGTTAAATTGATTTCTAATTTTAATGAATAACAATGCAATAAATTCGTATATTCCTTATGTTTCAAATTGTCAGGTTATGTTATTCAATATTACATAGACAAAATATAGAATAGACTTACATTTTATGGAATTTTAATATGACATGATCTGAATTATCGATTGTACAAAAAAAATTATAAATCACTATTATTATATTAATAATTATATTATATTAATAATTGAAATTCAAATTTAAAATTTATATTAATAATTATTAAAGTTAATATATAAGTTATATAAGTTATATAAAGTTATATAAATTATTTTTTTTATATATTTTACATATATAAATTAATTTTAAATTGCAATTAATATTGCAACGAGTTTATTTTTGAGAAATTAGTTGATGCATACATTATTGCGGATATCTACATATAAATAAAATTTTATGTAATAATAACAATTTCTTTTTGCAAATATTTCGAAAAAGTCGATCGAAAGTTATATGTATAAAAATATTCAATATTTTAAAATCATCGAAATTGGAAACAATATAGCTTTTATATAATTTCACTTTTCAGATATTTCATTATGAATATATTAACACCATATATAACAATTTATAAAAAATATATATATATATATATATATAAAAGAAATATGTATAAAACATATATATATTCAATAAATTGAATAGATTTTTTTTAAATCTATTAAATCCTAAGATTTTTTTAATAGGTTAAATAAAGAAGAGAAAAAATGATCGCAATTGTCTCTTGAGCATATAAATTTTATAAAGCAATGATGATCAAGAACAAATGAGAAAGATAGAGAGAATAGGATAAAATTAGGGAATCAATGTCATTTCTAAAATATCGTAGATGAAACAGAATAGGCAAAAATAATAAGTAGTAGGAAAAAGATAAAATAAGAATTGTCACTGCCATTTTTTAAGTTATAAAAATATTTTTCACAATAAAGTAGAATAACAATTGAAAATCAATACCATTTCTTGAATACTTTGAAAAGAATCTTTTAGAATCTAGTCTATAGCACTTTTTTTTTCTTTTATTTTTTAATTCTTATCTTTATGCTTTTCGAAATGTGTTTTATAAATGCGACATTTATAAATGGCGTATGATCATAGACAAGATATGGAATATCAATTGAACACACTTTTATCATTTTTTTTTTAAAATTACAATATGTTTTTAAAATAATCTTTAAAATAATAATCTTTTAAGGTAATTAAGGTAATTAAAATAATAAATAAAAAATATATTACTTTGGTAGATTTACAATGTATCTTTAAAATGATGATCTCGTAAAACAAAATATACTTTGATATATGACAAATTTTTTTGTCTATTCTTATGTATAAAATATATATTTCATGTACATTTATAAAGTATTTTGTAACAGAATATTTTTTTCTTTTTCTTATTTATAATTTTATATTAAAATTTAATTACAATTCTAAATATTATTAATGTTATAATGTTATTTTATTAAACCGAATCAATAATGTTAAATATAATATTAAAAATAAAGAATCTGTGCTCAACACATAAAAACACACAAAATAAAAAGTGAATTAAATATATATTAAATATATATTAGATCATTAGATCTATTTAGATCTATTTTATATCTTGTCTATCGTCTATTGTCGATTATGTCAATTTTTATATTCGATTATATCAAAGATTTTTATATTTATTTAATTTCTTTTCATCCCAGTAGTATTATTATTTTATTCGATTCGATAATATCAAATCGATAATATCAAATTTGACACATAATGGTAATCGAGGCTACGTTGTCCCAGGACTATATGTTACAAAAATGCATTGAATAAGAAATCTATTCTGTATCTAATCCGTGGGTGCACATTCATACCTTTTCGTTAACATTTTCGTATCTAGTTGAAAAAGATTGTCACACTTCGCAATATATTTTATTTATGGACAGTAACTGAAGCGCAATATCGGCATTAGAGCTGATTCATTTAATTGTTTACAGGAATGAAGATTAAAAGTAATACGTTGTAGTAATACGTGTCACTGACGAAAAAAAGTATTAGTAATTAATTTTTAAGTATGGGATGTTGTTACAGTTTCTGTAAAGAAGACAGCGGTCCACAGGTAATAAATCATATTATTGCAATCATATGAAATGTTTTGAAATCTTGATTTATCAGAAGTTAGATATATAAAAGAATACAATTTTTATCACAATTTCGCTTAATCAAATATAATATAAAATAATTAATATTCTTATATAATTTATATGAAAATTTATATAAAAATTTAATCAAACTTAAATAAAAAAATGCATTTTTGATTTTAAATTATTTAATATAATTTCTCTGTTTATTTATTTTTTATAGAGTGGAGAAGTAAATGAAAGGACACATTTGTTAGTAGATCCTGTTAGTAATAACACAAATATACCTAGAGTACATAGGTATGTTAAATTTTATATATAAAATATAAAATATATAAAATATATAAATAATAAAAAAAATATATATAATATTAGAAATATATATATATATATATATTATAACATTAGAAAGGAATTATGAAATTTTTTTGTTTTTTTTTCTTAGTGATGATTATGTTAACCAATATGCAAGTTCAGTACCCAAAAAAACAGATGAACAAAGTGCATTAAATAGAATTTTACATGAAACAGCTGCGTAAGTATTTGTTTACTTTTCTAGATTTATATGTTTATGTTATTTTTTTTATATAATTATTATTATATTATATTATTTTATACAATATATTATTTTATACAATATGATTAAAAATGAATTTATTATTATTAAAAATAATTAAAAAATTTAATTTCAGTAATGTGATAGATGTTGGAGCATTAGATTCGCACAATTTAGAACAGCATGAATATATGGATAGGTCACGTGCATATTCAAAACGTATAGAAGCTGGAGGTATTAAAGTCCCTGATAGTACATCTTGTCTACTTAAAGATGTCCCTGCTCCAGAAAAAATATTAGCAGCAGATCCTCTTGCAGCTGGAGATCATGGGCTGGTAAATATATATATAATATTTTTGTATTATTATATGTTTAATGTTTACAATGTATTGAATAATTAATTTATTTAAATTTACTTAAATTTAAATTTTATTCACAGATTACAGAAATGCTCAATAAGGCTGTGACAGCATTAGAAGATGTAAATGTTGAACATAAGGAAGATTTAGTAGTTCCTTTCTTATCGTGATCTTTTGGCATTTCCTCAGCAAGATTATATCCTGCTTGAGTGAAATCATTGTACTATGTGACATTAAAAAACATGTCTTTTCAAAATCAATTTTCAATAAGTTAATCTGAATTTACTTCAGATTTTACTTGAATATGAATATTGATTATGCATTATAATATGGTGTATTATAAATGAAAATACAGGTACTATTTCTTAATAACATGTTAAAGTGGCTTGACAATTTCTGAATATACGAAATTGTTTTAAAATGTTATAAATTAAGATATTTCCAAATGACCAGTTTTTAATGAAAGAGCTGAATTTGGTAGTGCTTTTCCATAACTTATATATAATACTGTAAAAAGTTAAAACACTGTTATTAGTCTTTGCTAAGGTATATATCAAGAAACAATATAAAAAGGCTATTTTGTCATAATTTAATAAATGCAATTTATTTATAAATTTATCATTTTTCGTATTGAAATTGCAAAAATTAAATTTTATTGAATCAATAAATATTTTTTTTAAATTTTATCTCAATACTGAAAACATTTCTAACATAAATATGATAATATATGATAAAGATAAAATGTAGATTCAATAACAATCAATATTCATAAATGACTGAAATATTTACATTATTTATATTATAAATTGTATATTTTAATTATATTCACATTTTGTTTTTTTATACTATATAAATTTTGTCTCCTTTCTTATTTCATCTTTATTATATTGTTGCAAGATGTGTTTGTATAATGTCTCAAACAATCAAATTCCTAACTCAAACATAAATTTGTGATATTTATATAAATTAATGCTATTATTAATGTTATATTTTCTAATCATTATCACTCTTCTTATATATATTTTCTTTCTCACAAACAAAATTTGTTAATTTTATATTTTATTAAATGTATAATAATTGTTATTTCACTTATGATTCTTTATTCATTTATATGCGTTAAATAAATGATAAATTGCAAAATGATATATTATTTATGAATAACAATTACTTTGAATAAAAATAATTATAATCAGTAGTAAACAATGTTCAAACATTGTATAATCGCACTTGTTATATCATTAACACACTGCAGCTTATTAAAATAATAAAAATAAAGTAATTAGTTTATTATTATTTATTATTTATATATATATATATATATTTATTTATATATATATATATATGTATATAAATACATAAAAATTGTCAATATTTCTTGTTCATTATTTTATTAAAAAAAAAATATTTGTTTTATATTTTGTTACATTTAAATATTTCAATATTTTTGCATGTTATAACTATACAATATGTAATTATTTTTCAATATTTGAAAAATTTTTTGCATTTTCACTTGTATATGTATAAATAAAATAAAATACTTAAAAACTTCGATTTTACATAGAATCATTCAATAAATTATTTACTTTTAAATATATATATATATATATATATATATATATATTTATTTAATCAATTATCAATAGTTATCGAATTTTAATTAATAATAAAACAATGAACATCGAGAATTGTCAATGACTATTATAGATGATGCATTGTAAATCGATTTAAAAGGAAGCGGGAAATAAGCTGTTAGGAACGCGCGAAGTTTGATGAGAGCGCGGGAAATAGGTAGTGGGGATAAGTCAAGCCAGTAGATTGGTTAGGCACATCATGGCGCGGAGGGGCATCGACCGGTCTGGCATCGGGCTGCTATCGGACTGGCAGGTCCCCCCGTTCAGTGCCACCAATACACAAGAGCCGAGGACTCTCTATCGCCGACCATTGGTCCTCAATTTGCCGACCAATCATTGGGAAAGTGCCCACGAAAATATCCAATGTAAGTCCACAAATTATCAAACATCAACGGGGTACGCGTACGACCGCGCACCGTTATACGATTAACCGCGTTTTCGTTTTGTGTGCTGTTTCAACTGCGAACTCGTGACTTCTTGAGCTTGAAAAACTCTTTCTGCACGGCCATGTTTGTCAAGACGAGCGTTTCTCGTCCAAAATTCGTGTCGATCCATGGCGAGCATATCGCGTTCAAAGTACTATCCAGCAGACTTGGTCTCCGTTTTGTACATCAACATTTGCCGCGTGTTAAGGATTACAAAAATATGACGTTAATCATGCCGCTGAAAACAGGATACAATATCCTTCAGAAGCGATGTGTGCCCGACAAAAGGTGATGATTATTGTCTGGCCTCAATTCTTTTTTCTACGTCTATTTAACATCTTGCACGTGGGCTTTCAAATTTCAATGTGCTCGCCACGTTGGCGATCTTTATCAATACTTACAAAATGTAAAATATATAAATAAAATTAAAAAAATCTTTCAGTAATCTAACCTTTTAAAATATGGCATTTATTTATCTTCAACTTTTAAACAAACAGCAAAATTTTTTGTAAATTCTCAGATTACTATATGTGATTTTATATTTGAATAAATATTTATCCTTATGAAACATAATCATTTCTATCATGTTAAATTTTTTTGCATTTAAGGTTTATATTTAGCATTTTATCAATTTATTTTAAAATATAACTGCACTATTTTTTTGTTGTTGTAAATCAATATCTTTTGTTTAGCTATAGAAAAAATTTACAATGGAACAATTGGGAGAAGGACAAGCAGTTGTGGTTGGAAGTGCCGGAGGAACGGTTCAAGTTGTTCAAATGGGTCAAGGAGGTCAAGCAATGATGTTACCACAAGCTATACAAGTAGCAGCACCAAATGGACAAATACAAGTTGTTCCAGTATCTAGTTTAACTGGTACAGGTCAACAAATTGTAATTCAACAACCACAAACACCTCAAATCATTCAAACTCCAGATGGACAAACATATATTTATCAGCCAGTACAGTTAGAAGGTCAAGTTCAACAAGCACAACCCACAGGTATGAAATTTTAAAATTTGTTTATTTATTAAAATATAAAATTCATGTAATAATTTCATATTTTATGTTTAGTAATTAATATCAATGGAAATCTTATGCAAATTCCTGGAACAGCATCACAAACAACAACTACTGCAGCAACTACAACACCAGTGCAACCTTTAGCAAGCCCTACAGCAACAGCGTCTCAGGCAGGAAATGTTGTCATGGTGATTACTATTAAAATGTCTCTTTCACTTACATAGTCTGTGTACATATTATACTGACTTGTAGTGATTATAGAGCAACAAAGATAATACATTATTTTTTTTTAAATCTTTTTATTTAAAAATTCTATTAGTCTATATCTATTTAGTGTAATACAAATTAATATTAAATTTAAATTATTTTTAGAATATATAAATATATATGATTGCAATTGCTTATGTTTTAGATGGTACCAGGAAATAGTGGACAGACACAGTTTCAAAGGGTAGCATTGCCAAATGCAGAAGTTTTTGAAGAAGAACCTTTATATGTAAATGCTAAACAATATAGGCGTATATTAAAACGTCGTCAAGCTCGGGCTAAATTAGAAGCTGAAGGAAAGATACCTAAAGAAAGACCAGTAAGTTAATCATAATTTAACATTATACATACATTTTATACTAATTTTAAATTAATATCTGCTTGCAGAAATATCTCCATGAATCTCGTCATCGACATGCAATGAATAGAATTCGTGGTGAAGGTGGTAGATTTCATTCTGGTCAAGTAAAGAAGAGAAAGTAAGTTTCTATTTATACCTTTTTTTAATACATTTTCTTATGAAAAACAAACACAGTATCTCATTCATTATTTTACGCATATAAGAGTGTAATGGTTCCAGTAGAACAAACGAAAACGCCATGATTACCCAGCACATCACAACTTCGACCAGCACTAATACCGTTCGTACTATAGCAATAGCAGCAGCAAATATAGGTGTACAGTATCGCGACACAGATAATATGGCCTCCACAATTGTTATTGAAGTAAGTTTTTTTTTAATTAAATACAGAAATTTTAGAGTAAATTGACATGATTATACATTTTTTATAGAAACAAGGTATTCCTCTTCAGGATATGATCTCTGAAAACGATATTGTTACCTCAAACAATTGTTTAATATAGATAAATGTTTAAGTTAAATAATATATGGAAATGATACATGGAAAAAAAAATAATAAGTCAAAGAAGAAAAATGTGTCGATAATGACATCTTGTATGTTTGTATTAGTTTTGTAATAGTACAAACATAATTCTTGAAGATAAAATGCTGTGAGAACCATCAAAGTTGTATATATTGCGGTTACGAAAAGTGTTTGTCTTATATTTTTTTAGCTTTTTTTTACACATAGCCTAATAAGACTTGATAACACTATTGCATAGTACCACGTCCGGTATAATGAAAAATTAAACTCGAGATTAGATAATATATATAACATTTTGGTCAAAAAAAAAATATTTCTATTAGTTATAATTAACTTTAAATATTTTGTGTATATAAAAGATGTTTGCAGTGTTACATATCGAATCTATAATTTCAAAATATCTAAATTTTTATACAAATCATATCGCTACATGCAATCGAGAGACTGAATATAATTTATTGTTACGTGCTGGGTACCATTTTTAGATTAGGTTTTATAAGTAAATTAATCTTAACTTCCATTAAAATAAAAAATAAACAAAATGCAAAGAGTGTATACATCAATAAGATTTTTTGTATAGTTTTATGTGCAAGTACAATTAATTTAATTTGATGAAAGCTTTATGAAATGTAATTAATTATTAGAATATTTTATAAGAAATTACTTGTATTTTTTCCAATAGTTTATGTAAATAACATGTTTAATTTTGAAATATTAATATTAATATTAATTAACTATTTTGGCAGAATGAAGGAGGCTATATAATGTGTATAATCTACATAGTTGAAAATTTATCATAATGAATAATTCAATTTTATGTTTATGATTAAACTGGAACTTTTGAAAAATTAATTATTATATTTTGCTATTATAAGAACAATGACATTTTTCTAAAATTCTAACATCATGTCTAAGAATATTCAAAGGACAAACAAAAAAGAATTAATTTTATTCATAGTTAAATACTATTTCATAATATATATTCATATACAGCATCTTCTTTTACAAATGTATAAATTAAAATAAAAAAAGAAAGAATGTTTCTTCGAATATAAATATTTTATTAAATGATTCTAAAATAAGTCGAATTTGTAAATAATTGTAAGTCTACAAATGTAAGAAAGATTTACGTGAAATATGATATTGTGTGTTCAGCGTGGATGTAAACAACTGTAAATTAATAATTAAATTGGATGAAAATAGGAAATAATATATTTGTAAAATAATTATATATAAGCAAAACAATACGGGTTGTGTTTTATAATAATTCATGTCTGATGATTTAATTAATGTAATCCTTTTCCTATTTATCATTTATTATAATAAGTGTTTATTAAAAATAATTTTCTTTTAAATAATACGAAAGAAGAGAAAAATAAGACAATTTTTTATTATTAATTTAAATATATTATAAATTATTATTTGCATGAACAACATCAGATAATTCTAGAAGGAAGTACAAATTTTTTCTCTGCTAGAATTTCAGAACATTCAGATGGTGGACTATCAGGTCCTTTAGTATATATTTGAGGTTCTATAGGTAATGGTGCACCATGTAAGAATTCTTTTATTACTTTATTTCCGGTAGCATCTATGGTTGCATTCTTTTCTGAATATCCAGTACTAAGAGAAATAATAATAAGTTATATAATTTAATAATATGTAATAAATTATAGTTTAATTATATATATTATAAATATATTTTTAATATATAATTATGAATATTATTACAAAAGTTTTAAAAACATACATCATTGATTATATTATTTTAACAACACGCATATCGAAATTGAACGAAACTGTTTAATTTTGTTTTCTTACCTTATACAAAGAATTTCTCTTTCTTTTTTATTTGGTATTAAATTATCCAAAGGTTTCATTGCTTTTTTTACATGTAACAAATCTTTCGTTACAATTTTCCATGGATTTCTATAAGATTTTTTTTGAACCGTTTCTGGTATGATCCAATCTTCCGGTAAAGGTATATCTTTTTTTCTTCCATATATTTTCACGCGAGGTGAATAATCATCTAAATAATTAAATTTTTAACTTTAAATATATTATATTAATGAAATTATATTATCACTTTCAAAACATTAAACCTTTTGAATAATGTAATTGATACATGGTTTGCTTCAGTTCATTGTCTTTTCTTTCAATTAGATCTTCGTCTGGTACAACTTCCGGAAGAAATTTTTTTAAATGCGAATATTTTTCGCGAATCTAATAATTGCAAATCTACTAATTAATTTTTTTCTAATGCAATAATGATATAAATGATTTTCAAAATAAAATTTTATAAATTAATTTATAAAATGAATGAAATAATTTAGTATATATATCCAAAGTATATAATATGTTAACTTAAATTATTGTTACTTGTTTACTCTGTTTAAATTCTCTTGAGGGTCCTCGCTTTGTTCACTTAAAGGAAGTGTTTCATTTTTTCGTCGTGTATTGAGACACTTTTTGTAAGGACCATTTAAAATATTCAATGGTGGAGGATAAGGTGGTTCTGGTCTACATTCTTTTGGTCTACGACCTTCTTTCGATTGAAAATCTTTTTTATATGTCGTTATAAAGTCACGTGTCTCGTCTTCCACTTCAAAAAGCATGATTTTTTACTTAAAATAAATACATTATAAAATTTTTTCGCAATTATTGATAAATCTTAAAAGATTACAAAATCTTGAAGTTGGCAAATTTTGATTTAAGAAAAAAAAAAAAAAAAAGAAAAGTTTAGATATAGATTTAGAAAATTTTCAAAATTTTTTTTGATAGAAATAATTATGATTGAAAAAAATTATGATCATAAAAAAGTTAACGATTACAAAAATTATAAAGTAAATTAACGGAAAAGAATGAGAAAAATAATCTCTTCTATTTGTCGTTTAATGATTCTCCGATTTCTCGCGGTTCATTATGGAGAATGATATAACAAGAGATGAAGCATGGTACCCTTGTGTGCTATAAACGCCAATTAGGACATGACATCGAATTTCCCTGTTATAGGTGTGTCCTTGTTGATGCGATTCGCCTACGCATTCTTTCTTCTTGCCTCTTTTTTTTTCACTCCACTCCTCACTTAAGGGAGGTAGAAAAAATAGATATCCGCATTTTAATTTAGCATTTAACATTTCAATATCGACACAAGAAACTTGCAAAAAATTTCGTTGCTATTAATCTCTTATCTCGTAAACAATGAAAAGTATAAAATTTTACAAATAATTTAATTTTGTATATAAAAAATCATTAATTAAGATATTAAAATTACATATAATTATATATAATTCTTTTATTTTATATTTTATTAATATCAAACGAATTTCATAGAATGTCATGAAATATACACAATAGATATTTTTAAGCAATTATAAAAAAAATTATAGCATAATTTAGATATAATATAATTAAATAGATGTAATTAAAATATTTTATACAATCATCTTCATAAGATTATTTAATTTTTGTTTCAAATCAAAGAATTTTATTATTTTGTCTGAGGAATATCTTTACGTCATCATTCAGGAAAGTTTCTTATATACTTTAACTTCCAACCCTCTTGCTATCGACTGCCCACGCACGTCTTCGAACTCTTCTCGAAAGACAAATGTGTGTATATGTCCTTGCTCTCCTTTTCAGAATTCTGACAAAGAACAAGTTCGTTCTGTTCATATTCAGAACATTTCTCCATATTTTCTTTGTAACCTAGTAGAATTTCTATAGTGTAATTATTCATGATATAATTTCCAAAATATTAGACTTAAAGATTTACATTCAATTCTTTTCGCTTGAAAAATAAAAAACAAATATATAATTTGTTAAACGAAGTTGAATATAGTTATTAAAAAATTTTAATGGATAATTTTATTCGTTTTCTTAATTAAATTCTGCAATTATAATTCGATGATATTTACGATGAACATTAATTTTATTATAACAATATTGATTATATCAATATATCTGCATCATTAGATGCTGATATTAATATCATTTTCATAATTATGTCAATTATAATATTCAATGATAATATCGGAACAAAAAATATTAATTCAATAGATATATATTAATAAAAGTAAATGTCAAATACAATATTTTAATATAATTAAATTCTTATTTTTATTGAATATATAACAGGAAATGAAATTGTAATATAAGAGGTTAAATTAATTTTAAAAAACAGAAGAAATTTAAAATACACACTCTATAGCTCATGTTTGCAAACGAGTAGATTTTTAATGTCAGACTGAACGAAACTTTTCATTTTGTCCATATCGGATTCAGTCGAAAAAACAAAAATGTGTCAAAAATCTTCTTCGAATACGATTAAATGTAATTGATTTGTATAATTTCGTCTAGCTATGATTCATTTGTATCTTAAATCTATTATGCAAGTGGAACAAACGAAAAAACAATTTTTCATTGCTTTGGATATACATCTTCCAGGAAATAAATATAATAATATCGTCTCTGATCCTTATTATTAACATTCATAGTACCGTGTACTGTGTTTTGTATAAAGAAAGATTAATGTTCCGTAATAAGCAGCTAACTTATTAAAAAGAGCTGATGACCACGGTTTTCTAATCGATCACATAGATTGAATGATATATTATCAGTATTAATGAAAGAAAGAAAAATATTCTAATTAAAAATAAACAGATATATTTATCTCTGTGGATTAAGACATACATATATGAATACAAATATGGTAAATGATATTTAATTTATTTATTTTTCTATAAAATAAGATTGCGTGAATACAACCTACTAATAAACGACAATTGTGGTTATGACAAAGGATAAATTGAATTTTGGAACAATAGAAAATGAGATTTGGGGAAGATATTTTAACGATGCATGTAGTTCATAACTGGAGAATTATCCTAGTAAACGATTTTCTCTTCCAGAAAATGAATCCATAAATCCATAAGTTTATTTAACAATACAAAACAGTATCATCTTGCTCCAAAATCAATTCTTTAATCTTGGATTATATCACGCTACAATTCGCGCTATACATTTTATTATAGTATGCAATATATACAATGTACAATCCAAATTTTATACCATTGCACAAAGGAACTTGTGCCATATACAAGACTTTTATTCAATTTCCTCTACTTTATCCTCTATAAAATCAAGATATTAAAAGCCTTCTTATCCCATTATTCCTTGGTTTCATTATCTTCCCTTTTTCAATTCTCTTGATAAGGAATAACAAAAAAAAAAAAAAAAAAAAAAATATCAATCTTGAATCCTCGTTAAATGGATGGCCACTCGGGATAGGACATTTTTCCACGTTCCATCTTTCACGTAATTCTCTCCATCCCTTCCTGAATCCTCTTCAGCGTCTTTCAAATCTTCCACCTACGATCCACCTAAAGCATCTAAAAGCCTAATCCTCGAATTTATATTCATTCGAAATGGAATCATTGGGACGGCGCGGCGTAAGGATGAGTGAATGCAGAATAAGCGAGACGATTGAGAATAATCCGCGTGGCAAACGTGACGGAAACGTAAATCGCATTACGAGCAGCGCACGATAGGGCACACAGCGAGGGTACCAGTTGCTTCGCAACCAGTTGCTCGTGCCAAGGGTGGCGGACACCTTACCCTTTGCATCGTCACAGAAAAGAATCAACTCCAACCACTCCTTCCAACCTCGAACCTTGGTCCTCCGGATATCCATCTTCCAGATGGATCGTAAACCAGGGTGAAAACCGTCGTCCAAACACCGCGAAACGAGGCTTGGAACCTCGAACCGAATTTTATCTGATCCTTTATGAAGAAAGAGAGAGAGAGAAAGAGAGAAAGAGAGAGAGAGAGATCCTCGTGGGGGCGAGATCGCCACGCCTCCCGCGTCTATATAAGCTACCGGTCCGACGTGGAAACCTCACTTGCACCCCGGCAGCAGTCAGAAAAGGATACGATCCACGGGGACGAATCTCTAATCCGTTCGAATCGAGGAATCGGCCGATCCTTTGATTTTTTTAACCGAGAAACGAAGAGAGAGAAAGAGAAGGAGAAGCCATGAAGTTTGGATTGCTCTGGTTGTTCTGCTTGTTGACGGTTGCCATCTTCACCGACAGAACCTTCGGAAGCCCCTACATCGATGATGGTGAGTGGTTTTATTTTTTATCTTCTTTTTTAGTTTTTTTTTAGTTGTTAATTGAGCTGATAGAAAAACGTTTGTCGATTTTTGATTTTCTGGTATTAAGAGAATGAATTCGTTTTATGAAGATGGTACTTTATGGTGAAAAAATATTGTGTTTTTGTCAGATAAAAATCAATTGTCAGACGAATTTAAGAATATCTATTTTTAAAATATTTTTTGCAATAAATGTTATAAGTGTCGTATGTGTTAGTAAATGTTGGTTTTATGATCGATTTTAAGGTATAAAATTAATTTGAATCTGATAGATTTGAATCTGATCATTTTAACGAAAGAGTCAATGATTATTGATATTAGTATATACAAAATTTTTTAATATATTAAAAATAATGATCTTGAATATATGAATATATTGTAATAAATTGATTTATTTATGTACTTACAAAATTGACATAAGTTTTCTATCAACTCGGTATTGTGAATGAGATATAGTGAAAATTGTATGTATGAATTAATGAATTGAAGTTTCTTTAATGAAGATATAATACGAAGGTCATGGAAAATAGGAACTTGACAAAGATAATTAAAGATGACCTTTTAGAAATTTTATTTTAATTGAAGATTTTTTTTAAATAAAAATTTTTCTCGAGAAAATTTTAATAACGAAAGTGCGGATGTTGTTTTTTTGATGATTAAAAAAATTCATTTAATTTTAATTAATTTTAATCAACACAACATGCTTTTCGATGAAGTTTCAAATACAGCTTGGAAGTTTCAATATTTCTTTTTTTTAATTTTAATTAATTCAGTCACGCATAAGTGATAAATTGAAAACAAGAATAATGTCTATATTTAAATTCACGTTTGACTTTTCATTCCTATTTATATTTTTCGTATCGTAATTAGAAAATACATTAAAATATCATGTTTCAAAGTTATTGTATTATTGACATGTTTCAATCGCATTAGTTTGCTAACAATTATTTGTCATGCAAGTAAATAATAATTTTCATATTTATAATGGATCAAACATTACAGGAAATTATGGAGAATAATTAATTAAATAAATATAATATTTAATAAATTTTAATACTCTTCATTAACTCGAATTATTTTCTTCGAAAACATACGATATAAATGTTAAATTTATTGTAATAATTAATAGAGATCTCTTATCGCGTATATTAAAAAAAATATTTTTCATAAAAATCATGTGGATCTAAATGTGAAAGAAAGAAAAGAATTCTGTATTATAAATATTGCTTTCATTATAGAAAATTCTTTCATTTTTCACGTTCGAGATATTAGATAATGTTTTTAATATAACAAATTTTTATTCAATTTACAAAAATATAACAAATCTCAAATTTCATACGTTAAATGTTCAAGAAATAATTAATATAATCGTTTGATTTGTCGTGATAATCTATGTATAAACTAGAAGAGCTGTATTTGCGGTTGAGGGTTGTAGCTAGTAGTATACATCCGTATATGAGCAGACATTTGGCAAACGAATGTATCGCGTCGGCACATAGCAACTGCTGCCACTCACAGACACATTTCTCTGAAGAGTTGATACATCGAGTTGGCAAATTTCATTATATCGAATCAACAATCAGCATTTTACGATACACGTTAACAATTTACAATTTTATTTAAAATTTTTTTTTTCAAAGATAATTGTAGAACGTACATGTGCATGAATTGAAAATTTAAATTGATTAAAAAATTTGTATCGCAAAATTATTGCGTTCACAATATTTCACACAATAATAAAAACGAGTATAATATAAATAAAAATTATTCCAAAAACTATTCTATTTAAAAAATAATGAAACGATTAATTTTAGAATAGATTATGCATTGTAAACACAAATTCAATTTATTAAGAAAATAAGAAAATTGATAAAATTATAAAAAAAATCTATGTAGAATTTCGGAATTTGCGATTGAAAATTTGCTCTGTGAAAATATTAAAACATTGACAATAACTTTGGAGAATAACTTTGGAAGCAAGGAGCGGGAAAAGCTGGTATGTTAAATTATTTTAATCCTAGAGGCTGTTGATGAGAATACCGAAGAAAATGAAGCAAGGGGAATAAATTGTTATTGCGTGTTCATTTTATATCGTACAATCTCTGCTTCCTCTGGAATTCCGACTGGAATTATTTCTGGCGAATTGATGAATTCCCCTTGGCGAATATACGTTTGATATCCTTGCTCTTTTCGCATTATATCTCCAACTGATTTCTCCTTTCTATTAAGAGCTTGGCAAATGAATTGGAATCTCAATGTGGAGTATTTGTCAGATTTAAAAAAGAAATGAAATTCAAGTGGTTTTAGCGATTGATTTGAAAAAAATTTGTGGAATTGGAAAAATTTTGTATGTGATATATTTCAAACTTTTATGTTTATATGTATTCCATTTAAATATAATTAAAGTACATTACTTAAGTATTTGAGAAATTCTTTCATAAAATAATAAATAAATTTTAAATGATTATATAATATCAATTCTAGAAGATAAACGAACAATCTATAATTCATTATAATTAAAACTAAAATATTTATGATATTAATTGATATTTGCAGATTATCAAGTAAATATTTATTATACGTATATATATTTATATATAAACAAAATTATAAAATCAATATTATTTTGATAAAACAGAGTTCTGCCGTGGAAATTTACAATAATGTTTTGTAAATAAATATCTGATATTTGCAAAAGGGATTGAAATTGTAAAGTTATATTTAGAGATTAACGATAATAATGGATTAAGGATTTATGCGTTTGTGGAAAAGTTTGTTTGAATATAGAATTAATGAAAATCTTCTACTTCAATTAATTAAAATTTGAGTATATTAAAATATTTACATTCACACTATGATTACATTAAATATTTAACTAAACTAATATTTATCATATTTATGAATCCAATTTTTATATCTCTGATATGTATAATTAACTTTCATAACTTTCATGCATTATTTCATTATTTCATTATTTAATCCTCAATACAAATAACTCATTGTTCTTTATATGCGATTCGCGATAATATTCCCTACTTAAAATTCATTATTCGTTCTCCTTTTCAACCTTTCCAACAAATTATTCAAAACGGCATATAAAATATTCATATAAAAGCAAATTCATATAGATTCTTGAATGGATGAATGAATGAATCGTCGTGATCCAGGGAATGCAAGATGCTTATAATCTCTCTCTTTATATTCTCACGGAAGTGCAAGGTAGTTCCGTGTTATTCGTGTGGAAAGCTTCATATTTCAAGGAAGCGGACGAATTTATATGGAAATACCAACGTGAACACAAACGTAAGCGACAATGCCGACTAAATATAATCTTTGTAAGGGTTCTCGCTCATATGTTTCTTCTATTTTTATTCCCTTCCATCTTCTCAATCTACCCTTTTATGAACTCTGTTGTAATGGACGCGTTTGATCGATCTGGCTACGCGATACTTTCTTTCTTTCTTTCGTTGGAAGAACGATTCCACGAACGAAAGACCGTTCGAGAGTTCTGAAAACAATCGTGGATATTTTATTCCTTCTCATTTCATCGTGGATATTGATAACCGAGTTGCTGCATAAAACATGCCGCCTTCCAGACGAAATCTCGTTTTGCTTGTTTTTAAATCATTTTATTAATTCTTCTCGTTTCTGCGTTATTTCTGAAACATTTAATTTATTTATTATTCTCTTAATAGGTTTAAGAATATTCTTACAAGTAATTACAAGTCTTTCGTTCTAAAGTGCCCGGTCGTTGAGCTATTTTTCATCGTGAATATAAATTTGATTGAAACTGTTCAGAAAAAGCAAAGTAATTGGGAAAAAAAAAAAAAGGTTGAGAATAAGAAAGTTAATTTGAAAAATATTATATTTAAAATACAAGAAATAAATAACAAGAATTTAACAAATTATACACAATGATGCTAATCATGTAAGAAATATATCGTTATAGACATGTTTTTCTTTATGATTCTTTTGTATATGTGATTATTTTTATAACGAAAAAATATTACATTGAAAGAAAGTTTTTCAAAGTTTCATCGAATGAATTTTATACGTTATTTCTCATTAATTTTTCATGGTTACTTTTTCACTCGTATAATAATAATTTAACTACCGTATTAAAAAATATATTAATGTGTGTTACAGAGGAAGATTCGCTGCAGATTGCAGATTCAGATTATACAGATAATGCATTAGAGAATCTAATGCGAGCGGCTCAACAAAAGTGAGTATTTATTGTATATTAATATATCACGTGTTTATCCTTCCTTATCCTTCTTTCAATCTTGTTTTTAATATTTTTATATTTTTATTACATAGATTTGCATGTTTTATGATTAAATTAAATTAAACATTTTGCAATTCGATAAAAACTTAAAAAAAGAAATGCAAAAAAGATACTCATCATCGAAATTATTTTTTTAATTTTTTTTAAATTAAAATATTTTATCAAATCAAAAACTCATTAAGATTCAAACGATTATTTATTAAGAGAAAAAGAGAATTGCAAAATGTATCGATTTAATATATTTACTTTTATTTTTCTCCTTTTTCCATCTCGATGTCTCGATGTCTCTGCAAGGTATTATTCTGAAACCCCTAATCTCGAGTAGACGTACCTCGTTGATCTACCTGTTTAGGCGGGCCTGCATACCACGGAGCGGAAACTGCGACCACCGGCCGAAAGACTGCTGTTACAGCTCCAGTTGCAGATGCAATTTGTGGGGGTCAAATTGCCGGTGCCAACGAATGGGTCTCTTCCAGAAATGGGGTTAAAAACGATCTCACTCTCAATCCCCTCTTTCTTTCTCGGCGAGAACGTTCCTCCTTTTTAGCACGCCATGCGACTACAATGCACGATTTCGTATAAGATTTGTCAAGATTTCGTTTCATCCCTCAGAGATATTCTCATTTCTTTTCCTTTCTTTCTTTCTTCTTCTTCTTCTTCTTCTTCTTTCCATCATCTTGCGAATACTCGAATTGCGTAAGCGTTTTTTGCGTACGAATTTTTACCATCGTCTGCTGTCCCACGGTCTAACATTTTATGCGCACGCCACGCGATCTAGATTTAGGATAGAATTTTTATTTGCGATGCGTGAAAATAGCAAAACTAGAGAAGATAGAGCTTTCGAATGTATGCGTTGCGGGTGAGGGTGAGTTTTTACGGTGTCTTCCCTACGGTTCCTTCTCTCTCTTTAATTTATCAATTTACATCTTTTTTTCTTACGTATTTTTTTTTTTTTTTTTTAGATATCTCGTATCTACCTCCCACGTATGTATAATAATCGAGATAATGAATTTTATCTAACGTTTATTTATTTAATTTTCTTCCGTTTTATTAAACACACTTGACTTTATTATTATTACGCTTATCTTGTAGAATTAAGTTATTATTCTTTGTATTTATTAATCTGTATTTTTTTTTTATTTCTATGAATTGAAACCTTACTTACTTCGAGGCCTTGCGCAATTTATCAGCCAAAATGATCGAACGCCAAAACCCCAAACGAAAAAACGAAGGGTAATAGAAGAAACGAACGAACGAATGAAGATCGTACCGAGAATTTACTTATCTTCCTCGATGTTCATTTTATTCTCCGCGAGAAGACGTGGAGTGAAACGTGGATACAGGATAAAATTACGGGAATACAAAGCGGTCCATGCATTTTAAGAATTATATTCCGCTGTAACACGATGATAATAAATACGAACGAACGGTGTAACGATAAATTGTGAATCCCTTGAGAGAAGAAGAAATGTCTAAGCGCAAGTAGATCTTTACACACACACATATATATATATATATATACAAACAATTTTTGAAAATTAAAATTCCAGTGTTCTTAAGTTGATCCATGACTGACGTTTATTTTTTTTTTTCGAAGCGAAATTACATTCAACAATGATTCAACAATGATTCAACGGTGCAAAACAGAAGAAACTTTTTCTTTACTTCTTTCTGTTACTCGCGAGAGAGAGACACACTTGTCGCCTAATCGAGAATCGCGTCCGCATTATTTTGATATAATTAAACACCAATGGTATAAAAATTGTATAAAACTAGGGTTAGCTTAGAAGGGATGGACGAAGTTAATAAGGAGTAAATTTTTTGATCAGGCTCAGCATTCTCTGCTATTAATAAAAAAAAAAAGGCCGTCATCCTCTTCGATGGGATGATGATAAAATTGGGAAGGATCGATGAATTTTTAACTCATATAGCAAAATTTTTTTATAGGTATAGATAGTGTATCACTGATCGGTATTTTCCTCTAAGTCAGCTTTATCGATCGGATGTCGGTATTCTTTTTTTGTTCATCGTTCGTCGAGGATGATCACGGCCGATTAGAATAATCGAACGAAGAAATATATATATATATATACATAAAATTAAAAATGATTCCTGAAAAATTAAGGGAGAATCGCGGTTTACAGATACGATAGATAAAGGTTCTCTCCTATTCAAATTTTAAACTTACTTCTATGTATACTATAATTATAAATGAAACAATACAATAATGGATGTTATCGTGTCGTATCATCGAAGATCGTGGATGTACATGTATCGATATATTATATGGAAATATAATATATATTATATATGTAATGGCAAAATAATTTTCTCTCTCCTGTATTCCTGTTTACTGTGCTCAAGAGGTACACAATTTATTTTAATAAGATTATATATATATATACATATATTTACGAAAAATATACTTTCTATTACACAACAAAAGTTTTTCGTTTCGAAGGAATATATAGTGTGTAGAAATATTTTAAGTGGAAAAATAAACTTCTTAAATTCTAAAACGTGGGAAAAAATTTCTCACAAAAGGAAGAAACTAACAAGCTCGAAGTTCTTTACACCAAACTTTAAAAAGCATAATCCTCTTTTTATCCTTTACATTATATATAATTGAACGACAAGAAAGTCAATTGATTGAAGAAAAAAAGAAAGAAATATTCCACTTCCAACACCCCATGTAACCATTGAAAAATTTTTTAAAAAATGAGCAACAAAATGAGCACACGAACGTGAAACAACACTGTCAAACTTGATAAAAGTTCTTATTAGCCAAGAATCGTGACGGAAAGGCGCGATGCAGGCAATTCGTAGGAGGTATCGGCGTGAAAGGACACGGAGGAGTTGACCAACAGAGACCGGTCACGAGTCTTAAAACTCGGCCAGAACGCGAAACGAGAAGTTGTCTGAAATCTGCCACGACCTCCCAGAACGGTCCAACGGCAACGGTTGCACGGTGCATTACCGGATCGAGTGGGTCGAGTAACTGGATCGTGACGATACGTTTGACTTCTATCCCGATGTACTTGCGAGATATCGTCGTTGCGCGTCCTCGAAAACTCGAGGAAGTCGAGGAGGTTCGCGATCGAACCGGGACGGATCGGCCAGATCCCAGATCTTCCTTCCTCTTTCCCTCCTTCTCGAGGCTCGAGCGGTAGGGAAAGGTTAAACGAGTTAACCTCGAGGAACCACGATGACCTACGCTCCATCTCGTCCGCTTCACATAGTAAATAATCTCTCCTCGTAGTATAATGAAACGCCTGGATACCGTGAATATTTTTCCGCGAGGATTTTTTTTTTTTTTTTTTTTTTTTTTTGGATGAAACGAGTTTCAAGAAGATTCTCACCAAGGAAATAAAGATCTTCTTCTTAGGACACGAGAAATCAATTTTCATTCATTCAGTGGAACGAAAGGAGGAGGAAATTAAGAATTTCTGGTTGCATTGGAATTCTGATGGATTCAATCTTCTTTGGGAAAGGAATTTTGTTTAAATTTGTTTTTCTTTTTTTTTTTTTAGATATAGATAAAGATAAAGGAAAGAAGATAAAGGGAAATTCTTGATTTCTATGTTTTTTGATGATTGTATCCACATCTGACAATATCGAACGTTATTTTATCCGATTAAAGTGTGCCGAACGTATCATCAATATTGATTTAAGAATGTTTATGAATTCAAAGTGTAAATTTTTCTAATTAATTTAAAATGATATACTTAGAATTGATGGGTGAAAACGAGGATCACCTGAATATTTGTGTTACCAATTACGTAATTGATGGATACTTTTGACGAGGCATGTCACACTTTTCGTCACGCACGTGTCAACGTTTTATTGGACTTGGGTCAATTGGTTTTCCAGGTCGTGTCGTCTCTTCTAATTGGACCGGTTAGTATTAATCTAGTTAAGGAAAAATAGAATATTGTCCAGAGTCACAAAATCTTAATATAACTTCTTTATTCTGTCTCTCGCTGTATCATAATCAAATTTCAATTTGAAAAAACGAAAAAAAAAACGAAGAAGTAAGTGTTATTGTGATTAAACAGATAAAATGAACCACCTATATCGTTATGTGCCTCGTTTGATTAATGATGTCATTTAATGCGTAGTACATCCAATGTTTCATGGAAGCACATTCAAAAATAACTATAACGAATAATATAAAAATCGTAAATTACAAATTAACATTGTTGCTTGAAAAGTTATTTTTATTATTAAAAAATAAAAAAAAGAAGATTGAAAGAAAGAATTTATATAGAAAAACAATTTGTAATTTGGAAGAAAAGAAAAGTATTTCTTGGTCCATTGCAAAATGTTCTCCAGTGAAAGCGAGGTCAGAATCACTACCATGAAGTTCGATGACATCGACACAACAAGGAACAATCTATGGATCACGTTTTCTACGTCGATCGAGTTCAACGAACCATAGTTCGATTTCCTATTTTTTTTTTGATGTTTCTTCTCAAAGTAGTGAAAGGTCAAAGGTTTCTCTTGTACAAGATAAGATAAAGGGATAATAACTTAGATACATTCCTTTTAAAATAAAAATAATTTATGATTGTTCCAACAATAAGAATTTATGTATGTATAATAGCAAATTTCAAACAAAAAGGATAAAATTCAAAAGAATATTATAATTCTTCCGTAAAGATATTATTATAATACAACGTTCTCTGAATGAAAATTAAACGGATCTCTTACATCTTCCATTTTCCAATACACTTTCAGAAACATTTGTATGGGAAAAATTTCAATTAAAAATTGAATGATGATATTAAAAAAAAAAAAAAAAAAAAAAAACAAAATAGATATCAAGATATTGCCATTCCTATTTTTATCGTAAATATTGGTTCAAACTAACAAGAAAATATAGCCAACCTTGACATCGACACGCATATTTATCGATCAATACGTGATAAACTATAAACTCTCTAAACTCATGAAACTTTGCCTGTTTAAAATGATTAAAACGTGCGAGCTAATTATTTCAAAGAAGAATTTTCAATGATTTACAACGTAACGTAAAACTTTTCGAATCAAAACTTGGCCATACTTTTAATCACAAGCACACTTTAATTACATTCCTTTGTGCCCATTGATATTTCCCTTTAATTCATGGATTATAATTCTTTATGTTTCGAATTCGTTGATAACAAATCAAAGTGGTTTATGCCCTTCGTAATAACATTCCTCGTTGTTGCGACTTTTGTATCACCGCCGGATCTTTAATTTCCTCGAAATTTGCCACGAGATTATAGCATGCCCGCCTCAACCTCCAACCGTCGAAAAGTTAACTAGAAGTACGAGGAGAAGTCGTGCGTATGTATCCTGGAAAACAGGAAGGTCGTAGTTTCAGTGTAATTCCAATGAATACGATCGCAGGAAGTTCTAATGGAATGGTAATGGAACATGGTTAACTAACTTCTTCTTTTTTCTATCTTCGTTTCTTTTATTAGATAAAAAAGATAATTGCCCGATAACATACATACATACCGATCAGTGGAATGTACAAAGAGTTAAAATATTTACAATCCTCCGCAAGATTGATGTAATTACGCCCAGTAATGTATACATCTAATTATACATGGAATACAGAATAAATAAAAGGCAAATAAAAACTCTGATAAAGTGAATATATCTAGCAAAAATGAGTTACAAGTTTAATAAGCTGGAGGAGGATATTAAAAACGAGATATAAAAGAATACGATCAATCTTCAATCAAGTTCTTGGATATTGATTTAATTTGTTATGAAGAAAAATTTGTTATGGATCTAACTTGTCAAATGTGTACAAAAATTTCATCTGATTATAATAACAGGAAAATATTTTATATATATATCCTGAAGCATATAATAATAAAAATACAAATAACATATCGCTTATTTGCTGCAACAATGGCCAAAATTTACAATTTTTTGAATTATTGACACAGAAGAGATCATTATTTCTCGAATTGATTTAAAAGAATCTTTTAAATATTCTTTTCTAATTTTGCATTTCGAATTTGACATTTCGACGCGAGTCGAAGTTTTGAATTATGTCAATTGTTGAAACAATTTACAAGTTTCAACCAAAGTTTCAAAGCGAATAGAAGTGCAATAATCAAGATAATTGTTCATAACAATGCAATTTCCCTTGCACAAATCCGGATTTCATCACGTGTAGCAGCAACGATTATCACGAATATCAGAAATTTGTCTTTATTATGCCTTTATTCCATCGATCCCTTCTCTGGAACACGTGCCACGGGATCGATAGTTGATTCGCTTTTGAACGAGCGTCCGTAAAAGTCCGTCAAGTTCGATAAATCAACCTTGAACGCTTGAAATTCTGGAATAGAGCTTCCACGTAACACCCCTGGATACCAGGCCACGGTTTCACCCTCCACGCTTGCGTAAGATTATTATGAGAGGGCGGATCAAGCAACCTTGAAGAAACTCGGTTACCTCGATCTATTCGGTTGCCTCTTCGAGAAAAAGTGCGACAAAGCATTTTGTATTCTGCCCTCATCTCGTTTTTTTTTTTTTTCAATGAGAAATATAAAGTTTGCCTGGATGGAAATCGATGGGGTTGGATATTGGTTGCCTTGAAATTTTTATCTTTGAAGATTTTAATATCTTTTTGTTAAGTTTGTATATATACATATATATTTGAATATAGACATGTTTTTGATACGCGTGGAATATGTGGAATATATGGAAATTTGTTAAGAAATTTTTAATCGATCCTTGTTTCGTTCGAGATAACTTTGAAAATTGAAAATGGAATTTTTGATGTAGATTGCAGATTGAAGAGATTTTCGTTCGATTTGCATTGAACAAAACGGATACTTGGTAGATAAGATTAAAATGGAAACTAGAAACAAGCATGGGATTTGTTATTTGTTAGCCATAAAATAATACAGAAAAATAAAGAAAAATTGTGATCAGATATACGACGTTCCTTTCAATGAAAAATCTTATCCTCGATATCAATCGTAGATCGTGATGATATTGAACATACAATAAACTAAAGAAGACAAGGTAAAGTAAAGAAGGTAAAGTAATTGATAAAATTTATTATTCGTAATGCAAACTCATAAATTACTAATTGAAACGTTACTGTATCTTGAGTTAAATTAGATATAAATAGCACGTTATAATCATTTACTGTTTCATTTGCTTGATAATTGAACTACCATGTTCAAAGAAAGAAATTTCGAATAAATTTCGAGACATGTTAACTATCATGCTCGAGAAAGCATGTAAGATCGTTATAACACATAAACGCAATAATTATCGTGACGAATTGTGGCTTTAATGAAAAATTAGTTTTATGTTAACTAAATGCAGGAAGGAGAAAATCGAGCAGAAGAATCTAGATAAAAGTTTCTGTTTGAATAGGTGACGAGGACACGAAACTTGTTCGATTCTTCTTCGTCCATGAATCGAGTGAATGTGAAATGCACACGGGGACACGAGAGTTAATACAAAATTGTATAATCTTACGAAAGGAGAGAAAGTTAGATCTTGAATAAATACAAAATCATCGTGGATATTTAATGATATCTTTCATAATTTATTACGCGAATGTTTCGTTGTTATTAATGGAAAAGATAAAGGAAAAGAATTATTCTTGAATAATCCAAAAATTATGATTATGTAAATGAACACACGTTTATTATTTATTCTAACTTAACGACGATTTTTTCATTTCGAAAAGAAAGATTCGAACACTCGATGCTTAAATGCTTCATCTCAGAGCGTAAAAAGAAAATTTAACAGCATTTGAACATTTTTGTAGATTCGTGTCTGCGATTGATCGATTGTGAAGTAACGCGTTTCCCGCAAAGGGAAACTACAGGGCTGTAAGTTTATTACCCAGAAACATCCCGTGGAAACTATAATTTCAACAGGAATACGATATTACCGTACACCTTTGCCGGCACGCCGTATTAATGAACGAACGTTATTATTATAGTTAATTTATTACAAGCGTAAATGGTAAATAGATGCAAGGAAATCATATTGCACGGGTTATTTAATCAGAAAATGTTAATTAATTTAATCACAATACATCGAATTGCTTATTCTGTTTTGCCGTTAGATATTTGGCTTTAATCTATATTCCATTTTACAATTTCGATTATATTTTATTATATTAATTATATTTTTGATAATTTTGTATCGATGATGATTATTCTATATTGATAGAATGATATAGATATAATTATTTCGGAATATTATATATCTTCGAATTCTAATATAAATATAAGCAATTTTTATACGAAAAATAATTCGAATCACAAGGAAAAATGTTTAAGCAACGAAGATCACGATATCGAAGTTTTCAAAAAATATTTTTTAACGAAAATTTGACGTAAAAGTTCTTTATATTTAATAAAAATTAAAAAGCTTCCGATAGAAATTGAAATATATTAACAAGTTTTTATGTTAATGAATATTTTATTAAGCGAGCCGGATTATGATATTATATGATAATTTTAATCAAAGTCGAACGGAAATTCCTGGAGATGCATACAGAGAGAGAGAGAAAGAGAACCGAGATTATGGTTGACGCATTTAGTCGTGCATGTTTAAGGTGATGCTCGACTAATGGTCCTGATATTTAATAATGATGCTATCATATTTTGCTCACGTTAACTTTTTATATTATATACGCATAGCAATGCGTTTCCTTTTTATTGTGTGTAAAGCATATGAGATATCGTTACACTTCCGCGATTATTCAGTCCTGCGTCATGTTATCCTTGTATTTTTTTTTTTTTAAATATTCGTGATACGATATATACAATGTATATATTTATGCAATAATCTGATCTTTAGTATTTTATGTCAAGAATTTTTTATTTAATAACTTAGGAATTTCTCAAATTTATTCTGAGAAGAAAAAGAATGAAACTTCAATAATAAGCCTTTTATCTCGTGGAATGCAACTGTTTCAATAAAGGAAAATATTGTTAGAAGAAACAAGTCTTTTTATAGTATCTATTTATAAAATAAATATATGATATAAAATAACTAAATTCTTTCAAAAAACGATTGCGAAATTTCCAAATGTTATAAAATGTATAATTAAATGTTATAAAGCAATCTTGCTTTTAAACGAGCAATATGTAAATTGATTTATTGATGTCGACTGTTTTAGACTTGTAAGTCTTACATTTGATCGTATATATTCGTTCATAAAGAAAAATATACAAGCTTTGATAAAGCTTTTATTTTTTAAATCTAATATTACGAGAACGTTTTGCATCATAATATAAATATCATGATATAATCCAAATATAAATATCATGATATTAGAACAAGATCCAAAAAATGTGATCAATTTTTAAATTGAATATTTCGAGTTTACACATTTTTTCAATTAAATATCAATAGAATCAATAATAATTAAATTGAATAAATTATATTATCTCAAATATAATATAATATAATTTACATATTTATTACAATTTATAATACAAAAAACATGTAGATTATGAACCAACTAATAATTGATGAACTGCAAATTAAATTAACGTTCCATTTATCGCATTCATCGTCGAATACTTATGAATTATCTGGTTAATTTATTCTTTCAACTGAACGCTCAAGTTGGCCGTGAAAAAAAAAACGCATATTTTTAAGAGCATTTCATTCCAAGAATGCAATTGTAACGGGCATATACGGCGGCAGTATGAAAGCATACGACAGTAATGCAAATCCAAGTGTAGAGGGAGGAATAACGAAAGAAAGGGACGGAATGGTTGAGAAAAAGAGAGGGGAAAGCACTGGGTAGTGGCCGCGAGCAATGGTGCGAGAGAGAAGGAGGAAGGGAGGGAGAAGCCACAGTGAAGAGCATTCGAGTCAGCTTGACGGTGCCGGTCGCCTCAGTATGCTGCGCAGCGCGCAGGCTCGCGTACGCGTATTGTTTCTCTCTGTTCTCGTCTCCTTTGCTCTCCTCTCTTTCCTAATTTTCCCTCTTTCTCTCTCCTGCTGTCCCGTACGTATGCAGCGCGGCTAGAATACGCAAGTACAAACATCTCGCAGGTCTCTTTCGCGTTTATGTCGTTCCGTTAAGTTTTTTGTTTCTCTGTTGGTCACGGACACCAGGATAATTCGACGAAATTCAGGTTCCTTCGTATAAATATTGTGAATAACGTTTGCTGTGCACATGCGACCGTATGCCGGTGATTCGAATTTAATCGAGAACCTGTTATTAACGCGTGTGCGTGTACACGTCTATATGCGAGTCCGTATACATCGTGACACAGTGACACGGTACGTAAAGTTAGCGATAAAGAAGAGTTGTGGCTCATAGTGAAAAGCGTCATAGAAAAGCGGGAAATTTCGATATATTCAACGATATATTTTGAAACTTTGACACGTCAAAAACAGACGCAGTGGATGATTCTAAAGTAGAGATTCAAGAGACTCAATGTGGATACTAAGATATAATAAAGCGCAGTGAGTGGCAGAACGGTTACGAAACGCGTAGAAGGAGACGTGGCACGAAATGAAGCGAACGTATCCTCGTACGATCGATAACTATAGCATCTCAGTAAATATCAAGCGGTTCGTATTTCCAGCGCGCACGAACCTAACCTAGCGAATTATCTGTTTTCTCGTACCTTGTATATTTGTAAACACAGTTGAAGAAGTCTTGTGATCTCGAGTAATTCGAAGAAGGGATGTTGACGTGAAAGTGACGTTTCACACTCGAAGCGTAGAAGTATCCAGAATATGAGAATGAAAATCTTGCAGTTATTGAAGAAGTAATATTCCTTGTACGCCATCTTGATATGTCGACGAATAGCGATGACAGGTGGTGAATGTGATTGTTAATCGACCGCGCGAGATTCGATCAGTCGTGATCGAATGTTCGATATATCTTGGTGCGAGCGCGTGTGTAACGGTCAAAAGAACGTCCCGGAAGATTCTTTCCAGTGTAACGTACGAGGAGACAGAAAATTACGAAAGGCGAATAAAGCAACGAAGAAGAGAGAATCCGAGGCGCTTTTATTTTTAGCCAACGCCGGTTCGCGCATCGCAAAAACCGGTTTCGAGTCTCGGCTTGGGTTGAGCCATGAGGTAAGGTGCGTATATAGAGAAGGGTTTTCGTTGAAAAGGGAGGAAGTGAGAGGGAAAGACACGCGATGTAAAGGTGTATGGTTTTCTCTCTGTTGGTTAAGAAAGAAAGAAAGAGTGACACAGAACGTGGAATTCGCCTAAGCCGATACACACCTCCCCCTACTTCTCTTCTTTCTTCTCCCACCTCGAACTATCGATTGCGTGCATGCACGCGCCTATCCATACTCGATGTGTTACGTGACATCGTACCGGGAGTGTATAATATTCGATTATTAAGTGCATCGTCGATGAGATGTTCATCGCCGAATAATTAACCAATCAGTCTGGCAATATAAATACACAGATATCGATAGATCGTTACAGTTCTCGAATCAATTTTGATGAAAAAGTGTGAGAAATTGGTGCGAAAAGAGAAAGTGAATCGAAGGAACATGACAATCGAATAAAATCGAATCGAAAAAGTAAAAGGAAGAGACGGGAAGTGTTTATATTGGATTGTTGCATGATACACGAGATTGACGAAGACACGAAAACGGCATGAAGAATGGCAACCGATTCGAGCAACCGTCAAGGTGTAAGGGCGGTCGCCACGACGACAACCGATCCACATCGAAGCGAAAAACGCGCCGTCGCGGCACGAGGCGCCGCCGGTGCTCTAGCCCTCAGTATTCTGGCCGTGGTCCTCCAATCGGCAGCTACCGCGACCCCCACTTGGGGATATTTCACCAATCCTGACGGTGAGTCATGCTTTTGAAATTCTTTTGATCGAGTCGCGCGTATTTTCTTGATTCATAGTGAAGTGATGCACGCATCGATTGCGCATGCCCACGACTTTCTCGCGGTCATATCGCCGCCTTTCGAGTTCACGGTTGCGATATCGATTATCGATTTATTTTATTGTCCGTCAAATACAAATTAAAAATGGAAATTTGATGAAAGTCGTGTGAAAATGACATATATATAATAACTATTATCTTTAGTTTAGCTTTAATTTATTTTTGATTTCTTTATTCATAAAAAATACATTAAAAAATGTATTTTATATATATTAAAAAAAATATAATACCAAACATGAAATCAAATCGCGGTTGTTTAAACATAATGAAATAAAATGATTATTAACGTTGCGCAAATTAATGCGGTTATTATTATATATATTGTGGTTTTTCTTATATAACTTCCGTAGAAATTACATGCAATCTGATTCTTAATAGTTACTCAATAGTATCGTGTAAAATAATGTATCGGGAAATGTTATAGATATTGAAACTTTTTCTAATTTAATACATTCAAAAAATCATGTTTTTTCAATATTTAATTTGATCATATTAATTAAATTGGTACACTATATATTGACTTAAATATTACAAGGACATTTTTATAAGCAGCTGCACATAGGCTGTCTTTGTATTGTACGAATTAAAAGGAAAGTCGTGGCTGGTTACTTAATATTTATTTTATTCGATAGAAAGTAGTACCATTTCAGAGTTCTTCGTTTATTCTTTGTTTTTTTGATTAAAATATATCTCGATCTTCTTCTATATCAATCATGATTCTTTTTATTGTCTTTTATTCGCAAGAAATCCCTCAAGTTGAAACGATGTTGTTTTGTTTCTTTTTTATATAAGTATAATTCGACCTAATTCAGAACACGAGTTCCCGTATATCGAGTCAATTAATTCCGGCAGATAGTTTTTATAGTTGCTATACTTCGTATCTTTCATCACCCACCTTCTTTCGACCTGTTTCCTCTTAGATAACAGTTATGTTGCCTGTCCCTGACTTGTTCTTTATCCTCAAGCTTTTCCTGGTAAACTTGACTGAATTAATATATCGATAAAATGTATTAGATGACTCGATATTATATCGAGTTAATTACGTATTCATAAAAGGAGACATCTTGATTTTATAAAAGTTGAAGAGTTTTATCTATGATTATTAGTAAAAGATACTGTGTGATTAAACTAATTACAGTAATTTTAAAAAAAATATTTTTCATTGATAATAACTTATATAAATGACATTTTTACATTAAAAATGAAATAAATAATGTTTAATTACACAGGTGAATAGATAGTCGTCACGAAAATAGTTTTGGAATTCGACAAACTAGTTGTCCTAATAAATCGGTCAATAACCCAAGCTTGTTTCCGTCATCGTTCTTTACTTTATTCCTTCACAGACTTTTTTCATTTTTTCTTTTATAAATTTTTTTCAATATCAAATCATTTATTATAAAATTTATTTTTTCATTTTCTCATCCAATAAATTATTATTCAGCAGAAAACAATTTTACATTATAAAATTTATCGAATTTAATATATGATTCCAAATATTTAAAATTTTTACTTTAATAAATAGATTGTATCTTAAAACAGGAAATTTCTTTTTAAAAATATTTTTTCGAAATTATTAATATAAATAACTTTAAGTGGTATGTATTTGTCCTTAGGAAAATTGAAATTATTTCTTTTGCAATATTTGAAAGTTAGTCGAGAACAAGAATATTGTTAATATTGTCCTTGTACCGCACAACGTTGTTTTTCGAAACAACGAGACAGAATAAGCTGTAATTCTCATTATAATTCTCGACATATCTGTTATTTTTCCTCGTGTTCTGTGAAACTTCGACTTCAATGCCATTATGCGGTCGGTTAGATGTTACGTAATTTTATGTCAAATACAAATTACAAACGATTCTTTATTTCATTGCATGTAAACATTATCTTTTTTCAAACAATTATAATTGTTTTTTTCAAACAATTATAACAACATTAATTTAAATTTTTTAAATGTAAATAATAATCCGTTTATAATATCTTACAAAACACTTGAATATTTGAAATAAGATAATTTCTTCTTTCTAACTTTATAAGTTACTCTTTTCTAAAATTAATTCTTTCGAGTTATTTGATGCAATATAAATCAAGCTGTGATTTCATTATACGCGATACAAAAATTTCCAATTATTTATATTATTTATTGTAGATGCCAAGAACAAAGCATTTGCACAATCAGTCAAACGATCGATACTTAGATAACCAATGTTCCATTGTGTTCAATGTACATCCTGACTATGCAAGTAAGAGAACAAATGTCGATAACCTCTCGTTCGCTTTATTCATCGCGAACACTCGGTTGCTTAAATACGAATTCGATGTAATCGACCGATCGTTTTTCACGGTCTGTTGTTCCTCCGTGATTTTTTCCATTCCCTGGTCGATATTCGTTCCATAGTTAATCACGATTATCAAGGTGCATCACGGTTGCCCAATCGCAAAAGGCTTTCCGCCTAACGACTACGAGATCTACTTGTTGTCCAAAGAAAATCTTGTGTACGTTTATACTTGGCATGTAGAAAGAGATTTCATGGTATAATGACACGGTTGCACGGACGTAGAAGGTAGTATTGGGCAAAAGTTACTTTGAATAAGAGAGGATAAAATTATTTTGTAATTTATTTAGCTTACTTTTTACAAATCCGGATGAATTTGTCAAGGATAATTATTTATTATTTATTAGTTATTAGAAGTAGTGAAAGTACATTAATATCTAATCGTTTTGTAAAATTTAAGAATTTAAAAGGAAATTTAGCTCAGATAATTTGTACATATAAAATTTATTGATGTTAATTGGAAAAATAATTTCAAACTTATAATCGATAGTTTTATGATAATATTGATATTTAGTCTCGCGATAAAGAATATTATTAATACGTTAAAGATAAAGATTTGCATAAAAATGATATATATGTGTCTACAATAGTGAATTTGATCTTCTTGGCGTACGTTGTCCTCATATGCATCATACGTCGATGAATGCAGCTAGAATGAAACGGTATGCGTGACCCTAGCAGGTGGTTACTACTATACGCTACCCGTGGTAAATATTATATGTGTGTGAACGTGAACGTATGTTACGGTAGATGCATGTGTGAATGAACGTTGCAGGTGCGTATTCACCTGTAAGGCCTCTTTCATTATAGAATACTCCTACGCTTTCGATCCTTATAATTTTAAAGTTTTCCAATATTTTTAAAAATCCAAAAATATTTCTCGGATAAATTTTCAATTACAACTTTTATTATTTATAGCTATTTTTAATTCGACGAAATTTATAACATTTCATTCCTTCCTAATTAATTATTTAATTATCATCGTTTCAACATTTCAATTTTGATTACATAAGGATTTTTTAAAAATTAAATCATCGAATATCAGAAATCTATCTCATTGAATCCCTTGCTTATTACGTTACTTTCACGTTTTCCTTCTGAAACAAAGTTCACGAGTTAATGCACAGCCAGCATTGAGATGCTAATTAAACCCTGAGAAAGGTTCGTGATTACCGCTTCAAGATTAATACGTGACACGAATATTCTATGTGCCTAACGTGACTTTTATCGTATGATATTTTGTAGGAGAAAAATCATTGAGTAAAAACAAAAAAAAAAAAAAGAAAAAGATTAAACGGTTTCGGTAAAAAATAACTCCATAGATTTTTTTCAAAGAAAGGAAAAATTTAACTTTTCTTCATGAAATTGTTGATTTATCTAGCGATAATATAACGATCATGTTTTCTAGATATATAAGTCAGAATTTTTTTAAGACGATATGCATAAGAATTGCGGCTTCGAATACTGTTACTCGCGTGATTCACGTCTCGCATAATGTGGTCGCCTTTACAATAAAGCAACGAACTACCGTTTGTTGGCGGACTGAAAGATCGTAATTAGAATGTGCTACATACATGTAGTGAACCTTTTCTCGTCTTTTGTAGCCACCAAGCGAAACAGCTCTAGAAGAACTAGAGTCTAGTATCGATTAATCTATAACTTTCTAGAAAATGGATATTTCGTACGATGTTTCATAATAATTGAAAATATTACAAGGAATTTTAAGGTTGGTCATGTTAAGCTTGGATCGAGTAGCTTCATTTTTAATACATTAATTTTATAATTTGTAAAATTTTCTCACATTTTGAATAACGATTATGAAAACATTCGTATTTGTGAAATTTTGCATATCATATTTTAATTTATCATACACTTCCAATACTCTCCATAATCTTTTCCAAGTTTACAGTAATCGTAACAAGATATTTCAAGACACGTTTAAGCCTCGAATTTTCTATTCTACGCTACACTATTTCAGCGAATAAGATTTACAATATTTTGATTTTTAAAATAAACCTTCTCTTAACACATCTTCGAGCAACTTATCGTCCAATTATCTCTATCATAATATCCTTCTGAATTTACTATTCTCAACCGATCTTCAATTTGCGCATTTTCCCCGATTCCATTAAGAAACGAACGTAAAACATAAAGTACACGTCCCGTGTGTACAGCCATAAAAGAAGCATTACGACAGGTACATAGTCCATCGTGACTAGCAGTCTCGCTGTGGTGTAAGTGGGTTTGGATACTGTTACACACGCATACGAAACACGATGGGGTACTATGCAAAAGAGCAGAAGGAGTGCGTGTGGTAAAAATGATAATCAGAGCCTGAGAAACGGGAGCTACCGGAAAGGTTTCGCGATAGAGGCGATAAAGTTCACGAACATTTTTCGATGGTTGATTAGAAGGTAGAATTATGCGCGGTATATTTATGCCCAAAGTTTACAGTTTTTGGAAAATGTACAATAAATCCTGGGACAAATTTTTTATTGATTCTTCAATCACACGCGAAAATGGAAACCTTATTATTTTTAAAATATTCGAACAATGTGGAAA